CATTGCAATCTGTGATCGTGTTCCAGATCTGGGAATGCCGATTGAGTTTGCTACTACATATCAGCCAATGATGTCAATGCAAGGTGGTATTAATATCCAAGCACCTTTCAAAATTGTCAATCCACAGAATGGCGAGGTAGCATTTATCATCTAAATGTCAAAGTCTATGCTAAAGCTGATGATATGTAGCTCACAACAAATCCCATGGATCTGGGATGTCTTCCAAATGTCTTCCTCGCCAAAGTCACCCATTATGCATCGTTATATATCCTGCTGCCGAATTTGGTTCGAAATCTCAAACAGCATGAGGGAACCCCTTCAGTTTCCATCCAGGAGTATGCTGTGCTCTATGAAATATTCATCCAATCAGCTTTACATTATCAGGATATGACAGCAGCTTGTCTTCCTGCTACGTACAGTTCAAAATTGTTTCAGGCAGGAAGTGGGCAGAGTCATCAGATGAGAAAGCTAATGGAGTTGATCCCTAGTGAATATGTGGAGCGATTGCTAGGAGATTTCAGTGAATGACTGGAGCGCCATTCAGATGGATGGGGGATCAGGCACCATTTTCTGCTTCAGTGGCGAGGGATCAAGGCATTGACAGTGCATGACCCAAGCAATGCAACTGAGCAAGAATACTTCCTGCGCCAGGACCATGTATTCAATGCCAACATGTTCAGTACTCCTGGTGATGATGTCTTTGTTGATGTTGCACTTGAGCTGTCTGTGAAGGAGGGAGCAGTTATGTGGTGCTCTGACAGCCATGCAGTTGCACTACAGAGACTACTGCAAATGCATCAGACCGAAGCCAACAAGTGGACGCGTTTCGGTTACTACAATTACAAATGGGATACATGTGCATATCTCACCTCTGTCATAGGATGTCACATCATAACACATACCACACTGCTTGGACAATTCAATGCAACCTTTGCTCAGATGTACACAACTGATAAATGCCTTATCTATGACATGTGGGTGAGCAACAATGCCAAGTTTGTTACAGCAGTTAATCTGATGAAGAAGTCAAAGTACACATACAATGAGTTTCTTGGGAAATTGTATGGTGTCTTTGCAGATGCAGCATGGCATAACGATGTACACACATGGATTGAGGCACAAGTCCCACTGGCTAATGTGGAAGATGTGTTCACAGATGTTTCAGTTGCGAGCTTCTTGGATCTGGTGTATTGTGTTCCATGACAAGACTGGTGGTGAGCCCATTTCTAGAAGCTATGTAATGATGAGGATCAGAGCTAATAGTATCCACAGGCAATTTAAATCTGCCAGAGCTCTTAGATTTGCGACATTGATCCAGTGGCAGAATGAAGAGCACAACACAGACATGCAACACCATTACTATCCAGTCATCCTGACATATCTTGTTGCATTTATGGTGAATTCGCTTCATGCACAGCCAGAAGAGCAATCAGGACACAAGATGTTGATGCATGCCATCTGGCCACGAACGTACTGGCAGGAAGATCATCACATGATCCTTCCATGCATGTGAAAGAGAGACGGGACAGATGAGCCAGGACCATATGCAGAGGGAGGACTCTGGTGGATTCTGAGCAGTGTGATTGCATGGCCAACACGGAATGGAAGTGGTACAAGAATACCACGATGTGAGAGTGTCATCCAAGTGCCCAGTGAGGCAGGTTGGAATTTGTTGGGCATTAGAAAGACACTGAATGAGTTCTGTTCTGAAGATAGTTGCATGAAGCAGCGACAATTGGTGGAATGGAAGCCAATGGGCCAGGTCATAGGGTGCATGAGAAAAGCCAAGGGTCAACCTGAGGGGCCAATGCTGAAGACAGAAAGGCTAGCTCGACGGATAGAAATGCCAGAAAAATCATATGACTACGGGCCCAATCTGCCACCACAGGACCAGATATATGATGAATAATATCCGGAGCATGCTGGGACATTTCTGAATCAAGTACTACAGCAATATGTGTCTGACATGCTGCAGAAGGTTGAACAGGCAAAATGTGGATGGGAGCATTCTCCTCTGACACAGAATGAATGGCAGATGGTCAACATCTGTATCATGAAAGAAAATGATCTTGGAGGAGTGTTGACACATGCACAAATGCATGAAGGAACAGAGAGCCAGTGGGATTCACTGTTTGACAACATCTTCTGGACTCCAAATGAACTGAATGTGAGGAAATGATGGTCTGCACAGAGTAACTGGGGAAAGATAAAATCAATAAAGATGTGGGAAGGATTTGTGCATGATATGTCTTCTTCAAGACAAGTGGAAGACATGCGAAGAGCACTGAAAAGGGCATTTGATGAATTCCTGTGGTGTGTTTGGTCTGATAGCACATGGGTGTGTGTTTATGAGAAGTCGGGAGGGAAACTGATTAAACTGGAACGAGTTCGAAAAGAGGCTCTACCATGTTCAGCAGTCTGCCTCATCCAGAATCCATGGATAGAGAACTGGAGATTTGATATTATGAGTGGCCACATGCCAGCATTGCGGAATGTTGAGGAATGGAGGGATAGGGAGGATGAAGAGGAAATCATGGCAATAATTGAGAGGGAAGAAAGAGAGAAGCAAAAAGAGATGGACATGCAGGAAAGAGAAGATTGCATTCTCTGAGAGTGCAGAGAAGAAGAGGAATCCTCAGAGGATGAAGCAGAGCCAGACATCAGGAGGCAAATAATGGATGAGAGAGAACCAATCACTATGGAAGGGAATAGAGGGATGCTACTGGGAGAGCCCATTGTGTCACCCAGTCAGCATCAAAGTTGACAAAGAGAGAAGGGGAGCAAAAAAAGATGTTGGAATACAATGTCAATAAACAATTATTCACATATTCTGACCATTTCAAAGTATATTGACAAAAGATGTGATATCAAATTAAACAAATTGTTATGGTGCTATTTTCACTCTGACAGATGAAAAGCAGCCTGCAAAGAAAATTGGTCATGTACTGTGGACTGCACATGCTCCATATGCAGATTCTAAAACACCAGAATGGACATATTTTGAGAATCAGTAATATACCGCAGACTGTACCATGGTAGCTATGCAGATTCTAAATAGCAAGAATGGTGATAATTGGATAATCAGTAATGTACCATGGACTGGATATGAGCCCTATGCAGTTTCTAAATGGCAAGAATGGGCATATTTCGAGATTCAGTCATGTACCGTGGACTGGATATGAGCCCTACAAGATTCTAAAACACAAGAATGAACATATTTCAAGAATTGGTCATGTACTGTGGACTGTACATGCTACCTACACCATTTCTAAAACACAAAAATATGCATATTTTGAGATTTGGTAATGTACCGCAGACTGTACATGCTACCTACATGGAATCTAAATGACAAGAATGTGCATATTTCAAGATTTGGTCATGTACCATGAAACAAATGCGCTCCCTATGCCCATGTCATGTGCAAATGGCCATAGACTTGATGTACCATAAAACAGACATGCCCCCTACCAAAGTGCATGGACCATGCACAAGAGGGACCGCTGTGAGTTCACAGTACCAGCCTGTGCATGATCCATCCACAGAGCAAGGCATCTGTCACATTTCATGGTCCCACCACTGCTGTTCTGTGTACCGCCGTTGGTTTAAACCCTAACTTAGGGTTGCTTCTGAGGTTCTTCCGAGCAATCCATGTACTGCCTACCTATAAGGATTGAATGTTCACAAATCAACGCTCCATCCCAATCCTGATATCAATTCTATTCAATCATGATAATATCGGTCATGGTATTCTTAATGGAGTAGGAAGGATCAGGTTTCAAAAGTTCCTGCGCTGAAATGCAGCACTCCATCATTGGTTAATGATGATACTAGTCAATTGAATAATCCCTGGATACGAGCAGAGAGGTTAAAGTATTTGATATTGGTGTCCTTTCACCATATCAACGGAACGGCGAGATGTATGCATCCATGTATGACATTGCAAACCAAAGTGTATTTTGTCCATAGGGAAAAAGGTAAACTGCGGCCTGGGGATTACAAATACGAAAATGACTACAAATTTGATATTCACTTTGCATTTCTTGATCCACTGATGATGGCGACTATTCCTTCCAGAACATGACAGCAGCAATCCTTAGCTTTTCAGTCAAAGTATGAGGATTCCTTCGGCTCAGGTCTATTATGCAGCTAGCTCGGCCGAGTAGATTCTAAGGACAACTCTTGAATTATGAACCAGATTCATTGTGATGAAGATGCTGCTGAGAATAACTATTGTCAGTATAAACCTACTTCCGCTGTCTCACCGTCCTGATTCCCATCCAACAGGTGGTATCCTGAAGAACGACGACTTTGGTGCACATCTTCATAGGCCTTATGAGAATTTGGACTGTTCCCAATGGCGAAAACGTTGCCGAACTCAGTAGGGCAGATTAGATTCACTGACAAGCATTGCCATTCATTCTCGTAGTGACGATCCTAGGGTTCATTTCAGGTATAACCCCTTATGTCCCTAATCTTTTTGCCTCTGATTTTTCTGCAGTTACGCCGCATTTTTAAGCGTTTCCTTTTCTGTATTTGACTGATGGTTCCAATGTCAAGGGGATTTTGAGTCAAAGGATCTCTGGTAACCTATTTTTGCTGTGTTGAATTGCTGATGTCCATGCAGACTACGTTCACAGCACCAGGGTGCGCAGTTATTGAGTATTCAGGCGTTAGAGGTGAGCATCTTGCCATTTATCGTCATCTTTTCCTCATCTCCATTTCGTTTAATAACGAGGTATGATGACGCTTCGTAGGCGTCATGGATCTCGTCCGAAGTACATCCTGTTTTTTCATTCACTTTTTTCTAATGCCTGGCTTTTATTCTAGGATATTACCGATAGTCACCACTAACAATGCCATCTCCCTGAAACAACGCCATATCGTGGACCTAGTTTTTGCTGGGATTTGATGCATTACATATGAACAATACGGCATTAGAGCGCCCATTCCTTGTGAACAACGCTGGAATGGAATTCCATTCGCATCCGATCTTTGGATAGGCACTCCCTCACTTTGCTCTCGGAAGAGTGAAAGCCCCAGCGCTCGCCCTGTTTTCCCCCGTCTCTTTCACCACTGAAGATGCCCTTTAACTCACCGATCGAACAGACCTTCTTATTGGATCATACGTAGGGAATATTATATTTCTTCTAGACCGGCTTACGCCTATGTACGGTAGGAAATATATATTTGCAAGCGAGGGGAGCGAAGTGTCGGCACCGTTCCTCCCATTCGATGGCGACGGACAAGGAAAGAGCAACCCTCACGAACATCATTCTCCACAGCTCGAAAATTCCCACCTACCGTTATTCCTGCAAATTAGACATCATAATGATCCTCCTTTGAACGTAGCGAGGATGAAATCAGCGACGCAGCGCCTCGGCAAACGCCGGAGTCGCATGTGTTTCGCAGTTCCCTTCTTTCCGTCACGTTCTGCCCGTCGGACGCTGCCAGTATCTCTGCGACCGCCGTATCTCCAGCGATTGTTCTAGGTGCGGGAGCAGGAATGTGGGTTAGTAATCAGAAGGTGATTTGTATTCTGTTTATCTGTTTTCTTTCCGTCCGAGCGATATTAGGATCAAGCGAGCCCGTGTAACGGGGTTAAATATCCGTTCTCGAGAAATGTCTCACTATGTATAGAGCGTTTTTTTGGTCTCCAATCACTCTACGACGCACAGCCCGTTGCCTGGATGTTCCAGAAATCATGTGCTCCACCGCCGTGTTTATTCGGGCTCGGTCAATTACAGCGAGCTCGTTTCGAAAAAATCTGTTTGATGCACTTCCAAGACAGCCACACCCATCCCTTTGCTCCGCATTTACTGTGGTAGCTCATCTGTAATACAACCCACGTCAGCACTGCTCCACTGACATGGTCTCTCGGATCATGCGCAGTATCGCGTCTATTCGTCAAACTGTCGAATATTCAGAACCGAATGATCCCGGAGATAACCAGCCGATTATGCGTTCTGCATCATATCATTGACAGATGTGGGCGTGGGCTTTGAAGCGACGCTGAAGCCGCAAGTCCGACGCTCAGTAGAACTTCTTATGGTCGGTCCTTGAGGATATTGCTTCAAGGGACCAGGTAGCAATGTTGGTGCCTAAGATGCATCGACTTCCATGGAGACTTCCGAGGAATATATCCTCAGTTACTTTTGGCTCTTATGATACTCAATGGTATGTACTCTTTTTCAGGCATTTGCTTTACGATTGTGTCGCCCAGTCACATTATCGAGCTTTGCCCTCCAATACGAATATCACAACTGTCCTGCATCCTCGAAGCGCTGAATGTCCAACGTCAATCATCGACCCTGCAAGGCCTACTAGACGCATATCACACTTCTGTTGGACTTCAAGATCGAAACCTATACTCTATACGTGAAATGAAGCGCTCTCTGGCGACCTGCATTTTTGAAGGAAAGCTACTCTCGTCATATGCTCATTTACATCGAATTTTTCTTCCATTTATCTGTCAGATACCCACCACTTGATAGAATTTCCAAAGTATAAAGGTACCCCTACCCGGCCCTCGGCACCGCTTTTTAATCTTTGTCCATGCCGGCCCAAACGGACCCCGAGCCGTTAAGAAAAAAATCATAAAAAGACCCTTCTTTTTGATGCACGCCTCCCGCAACCCTGTACACTCTTTTGACCTATGACGGCGACAATCGTTCCGACTCTACCTCACGAACACGGACCCACAGCGTTATCTACTGCAGAAACTGTTGTAGAGGACGGCGAAAGGACTTTTATTCTTCCGGAACTGGCTGCCGACATACCGCAAACTACCGTCCCAGCAGATGCCTCGGCATCGCGGAAGCATCCAATCAAGGAAGAGACCCTGGACCCTAACACGACATCGGAAGTCATTCCGCCAGAACACAAACATCGTACTTTGGTGCTCTGCTTCGATGGGACCGGGGATCAGTTCGACGCGGACAACTCGAACATCATACAGCTCATCTCGTTGCTGAAGAAAGATGACCGGTCGAAGCAGATGGTTTATTATCAGGTACGACTTGATGAATGGGCTTGTTACAGGCCTGATTGATGCTTTTTTCAGTCTGGAATAGGTACTTATACATCGCCCCAAATTGCGACCCCTTTCATGTCGAAGATATACAAGGTACGATCTGCCACTTTGGAATTCTAGCGCTGATGTGTTGTGGGTTAGACTGTTGATGTAATGATTGCCTGGAATCTTGACGCTCATGTCATGGGTACCCTGAGTGTGTCTTATCTTGTGGCCCCTACGCTGACATATTATTGCTTTCAGCGGGGTACGAGTTTTTGATGCAAAACTGTACGTCGCATTCATTTCTATCGGCAAATCATCACTCGAATAAATCGTCTAGACCACTCCGGTGATCGCATATGCATATTTGGCTTCTCTCGGGGCGCGTACACAGCTAGGAGGTAGGTAGACCATTGATTTCTTTCGTATTGGGATATTTGTCTGATGTTACGTTAACCCGCTAGTCTCGCCGGAATGATCCACAAAGTAGGCCTACTCCCAGCAGACAACTGGCAGCAAGTACCCTTCGCGTACAAGATGTATACTCGGACAGACGAGGTTGGATGGGATCAGTCAACGGCATTCAAGCAGGCCTTCTCTAATGATGTCCAGATCGAATTCCTAGGCGTGTGGTACGTCCCGGCCAATCCATTCCTCCGTGAGACGTTTACTAACACCAATACGAGGGATACGGTGGATTCAGTGGGGCTCATACCAAAACGACTACCGTTTACGACTTCGAACACTATTCTTCGAACTTTTCGTCATGCCGTCTCGTTGGATGAGCATCGGGCAAAGTTTAAAGCCAATCTTTGGAACAGACCTAGTGCGAGGGAAATGTTGTTGGGCACGTCAAGATGGATGACGCAGAATTCCGGTCAGAATACGAGCCAGTCGAGTTCTTTGAAGACACGCAGAGGGTCGAGTGAAGAGCGGAAGGAGTCAGAGATTGAATGGACTCCGCAAGTCGACGAGTTTATGAACAAAATGGAGAAGCTCCATTCTTCGTCTTGTGGAAAACCGACTGATATTGAGGAAGTGTGGTTCGCAGTGAGTTTTTCTTCATTTTGTGCCTTGCATCCTTATTGATTGATTTCTGTGATGCCAAGGGATGTCATTGTGGTATGTGCTTCCGTGATCTACAAAGATAAATCGAAGTAATGAATATGACAGACGTCGGAGGCGGTTCCGTGAAGAATTCAACGCGCTATTCTCTCGCACGGATATCGTTACGATGGATGATTCGAGAATGCTTCAAAACGAATACGGGGATCATGTTCGATTCCCAGCGTCTCAGACAGCTAGGCCTCGACCCTACGACGCTCTATCCCTTCGTAACGCCAAGGCCGCCAGCCCTTCCCGTCGAATCTGCCATGATCCGAACAGGGTCCCCAAAACCGCCGCTAAGGCAAAGGCTCGTATCTGCCTTTCGTCATCGAAAGTCTCTTAGCGGTAGGCCTGGTTCCGAGGGCGAAGCACATGCGGCCGCGCTACTCGCGGAGTACCGGCCTATCGGAACAGAGGAAGAGGAAGAACTCCAGGACGCGCTGTCCCCCATCTACGACCAGCTCAAGCGTTCGAAGTCTTGGTGGATCCTCGAGGTGATCCCGATGGAGTTCCGGCACCAAAAGGGAGACGACAAGTGGGCATCCTGGTTTGGGTATGAATTCTCCTCCGTTCGTGAGGCGTGGAACTAAATGGGATTTTCAGGCCGAACCTTGCCCGTCCTCGGATCATCCCGAAGCAGTCGAATGGGGTCAAGGTGCATCGTAGTGTTAGGATGCGGATGGAGGCTTTCCATGAGCATAATCCGCAGAAAAGGTACAAACCGAAGGCGCATCTGAGGGTTACACCGATTTGGGTGGACGATCATGTACCGGAGGCAGATGAGCACTAGAATTGAAGACGCTATGTTTTGTTTTGTTTTTTGCTTTGTATGTTTTTTTTTATCAAGGTTTTAAAAGCGCTACGATCACATTGTTTGAATTGGTGATGACGCCCCTCAACAGGAAAAGATGGGATAAGCCTTGGCTATATCAGCCTCGTTACCGAGACTGACACGCTGATGACATACATAGATGTCATTGAGACAATTCACTTCAAACCTCTGGAAGGAGGATACGAACAGAGCCCGCGATACAGGCCTGTTTAAATGTCTCTCGTGTACCTCGACGACGTCTTCGAAAATGCGCCAAGCTCGTCGATCAGTTCGGTGACGCCACTGCCTCGCGTCGGAGATGGTGCCGCCTGTTCCAAACAAGGGCCAAGTCTGTACCCACGATGGGACGGCTGATGACTTGTGAAAAGCGGTTATCTGTATGTTCTAGACCCCTCCCCCTCCAAGAGCTGTGGTTTTAGCTATACGTGATAGGGGAATGGGGCCCCAAGACTCTGAGAGATGTCGGGAACATGTAGTAGTATTCGAACAGCCATATGGTCGTTTACTTGCAATAATAGATGAAAGCAGCCACTCCGGATCTGTATGTAATGGTTATTTCTTGCAAAATGAATTGGAGCGGAGCCGGGGGGCGTCAATGAACGTAAAGTATGAAATGTTGATGATGATCTTGAGAATCCTTCTAGCCGTGTGCTTCACAACAACCGCAGCAGGGCCGTAGTCGATAAATAGGCGTGTGTTTAGCGAGCTACATTGGGTATATCGGGCTCTGTAGTTTGAAGAGTGTACTGAGGAGCTTGGAGTGGGTCTGCCAATAGGATCCGCTCGTGCCAGTGGGAACGAGCAGTTATCTCTGCTGTAAAGTCGGGATATGCCTGCTGAGCGGCAATCTCACGTTGTTATCATGCACCATAGTGACGTATTATTTGCCCCCACCCCCAGTTGACAGTGGATTGGGCAGAACCGCGGTGAAATAACGAGATGTGCAGTCGACGTCTTTGTTTAGGAATGAGGTTTTGTCTGGGTGTGAAGATATATGGAAATAAATAAGGAAGGGCAATTAGAATAACAACATACCTATGTGAGAGCAGATATCTGTCGAATGTCCAGCAGAATAACACTCGCCGCGAATGCATAGTGGACATTGAGACCGAATAAAAAGGCAGTATGGTGTAGATGGTGACGTTGGCCGTGGGATATGCCTACCTCCTGAATCAGTTGATGGTGGTGGTGAAACATTCCCTAGAGTTAAAAATAGCGCGCGTCGAACGGGAATTGGGGCGACAGTGAGAATTCCAGCAACCCCATCAATGATAGAGTTGATATAAAAACATTGGGAGTGTGGCGAATCTACGAGAAAGAATACGTCTAGTCCATGGGATATACGAGGGATTCCGTGTACAGGGCTGAGAGAAATTTATTGATATCTAAACTACATGAAAGTCAGAAGGTGGGGCTCGTCCGGGTGGTAAGAGGTTGATACGTTAGTAGTACATAACAGGATTTGGATGTAAGGACCAAACAAATTTCTTGCTAAACTGATTGACCTAAAATTGAAGGAACTTTTTCCAATGCAGTCATAGAGAAAACAGCATCGATTGATACGGACAAGTTGCCGGCGGGACCGTGATCACACATTCCCACGTCAAGTTTTTTGTTCGGACGTCGATCTCGACGCAATTACAAGCACCACTCACAAGGTATCATTTTTAAAGTCTATCGTCAAAGAAAGCAATCTAGCTCTGGGTACAGACTAAAGCCCTATTTCTTGGAGGTCTTCACTCAGGAGATTGCTATTTCTGCGAACATTTTTTTCAGGCTGTTCATTGAACTCTACTTGTGGATTTAGGTAAATGGAGATAGCCATTATTCCCGCTAGTCTGAGGAGCTGTTAGTATTGCCGTATTCTTACCTCACGGCCAAATTTTCCCGTGTGCTTAATTCCTTTCGGAGAAGGAACCATGTGGCTCTTTGGGGGTCCGATATTGTAAGGGGTCTCATAATGGATTGTAGAAAAACTGCTTCCTTTCAAAAGTAGGATGGTCCTACAACTAGTTTTCCTGGATATCCGAAGCCCTACCTGTCAGGATTCATTGTGATGCATGATCTCCCTTGGCGACCGGTCCCGAATTTTTAACGATGAAAACAGCCACGATGCTATAGGAAGGAAAAGGCACCCAAATAGAAGGATCGCTGACCTGCATCAATTGAAATTATGGATGTATTGTAACGAACAGCAGAAATAGCTTACCTCCACGGCTAACGGCGGTTTACAATCAAGTCTGCCCGTCTCTTTTGAAATATTTGCAATGGTGAAATGTGTCAAATTCCCTTTGATACGAATTCAAGGTTAACACTGGACTACTTACAGGCGAAGATACCGTAATGCGAGTCCGAATGCGAGTCCAGATCGGCCACCCTCGATGAAGACGAGTACGTTCAAGCTTTTTGAAATTACAGAACAGTTGTGTCACTACCAATTGTATTTAGAAATTGATTATCGACGTAATTGGTGCTTGCATCCGCCAGCCGAATGCCCTTCTCTTGGTTACGCGTTTTTAAGCGAGCTCGTGTTTTCACTTTATAATCATAGTGCAAGGGTGCCTGGTCATCAGCGTTCTCGTTCGTGCCAATGACTGCATCTTACCTTTGGATATCGATGCGTCTATTTCCATCGGTCATTAGATACCGTACCGAATTGATTTCTTTGCCGTCTCCCGGACAACGTAACTGGCTCGATCTACAGATGTAGATCGTGATGGGTTTAAAATAGACGTCATCGGTCAAACCTCATGGATGATTCAACAGACCGGAACATCCATGAATGGCGGAGTAACACCCCCTTAATCTTTGCCTTCGCTTCCATTTATATTGCATCTTCTTTATCAGCCATGTCCCCTCCACCTTCGCCGTACGACTCCCCAACCTTACCTGCCATGGAACCGGCCCCAGAGCTTAAGGAAAATGGAGATCTCTCTCTCATACGTGCTCATCGAGGGAACGTCCCAACATTACCACAAACAAAGTACTGTCCCATTTGTCCCGCAAAGTTCACAAGAACGACGCACCTGTACAGACATCTTCGTTCACGTAAGTCTTCGCGCTATTAGGACGTTGTCGAGCTCGATTGACATATCTCCTTCTCAAGATTCAAATGAACGTGCACATCATTGCGAGGTCGGCGTTCTTCGGGGATAAAGCGATTGTATGCTAATTCGAAGTTATCACAGCGGTGTGGTGCAGAATTCACCAGAAGCGACCTACTGACTAGGCACAAGAGGACATGCGGCGATCCGTAAGCGGTCGACTTCTCAGGCAAATAGCGAACTGAACAGGATATCATAGTTTCATTACTCGTCGATCTCGCCGAAAGTCTTGCCAGGTTTGTCTCAAAGTATCATTTTCCAGTGTTCATTACCTCAAAATTCGCTTAGGCTTGCGCAGATTCCAAAATCAAGTGCAATCTCGAGAAGCCATGCTCAAAATGTGTTTCTCGTGGCCGGAAATGTGTCTACATCAATGATCCAGCGGACTCCCGCGACAAGAAGAAGAACGTCAAAAAACGTCGCCCAAAGAAGCCCGTTCAGACGAAAGAGCTTCCTGCTGAAAGTTCTTCAGAATATCTTTCATCGCCGACGTTTTCATCCGATTCACTTCCATCTCCTCACAACAGCGAGATATCACCTACAGTTCATTCATTGGCTGCTGATAGTGGCCCGTTTTCCTCGTCTACTCCCCTAGCGTCTTCCTCCTTATCGGATGCCTTTGACGCTGTCACGATTATTGATGGTGACGATGAACTACAACTACATGATCCCCTGGGGAAAATATTCCCCAATAGCGTACTTGATAACCTCCTCGAAAAGTATTCCTTCTCTTCTCCAGGCACAACACAACCGCCACAGGACCGGGACCTCTCATGGTTCGCAGCAAACGGCACCCCTGGTCTAAGCGGCGACTACTTTTCCTTTATGCCGATTTCCCTTAGCCCTGATTCTACGCCGCCGGACTATGAATCATTTATGCGTAATCCTTCGCCTACTTATACGGCATCTCAAGACTCACTCGGCACCTCTCTGCCGCTCGATACAGAAAAACAGCAATACCGTCAGTGCCCACGTCCCATAATAGCTTTGATGGCTGACAAACCCTCTATCTAGTATATCTATTCTTTTCGGCGTTTTGTACACAGATCCCTTTAGTTCACCCGGGTTCATGGACGATAGAGGATAAGCCTCCCGTTCTTGCCCGTGCGATGCAAGCATGCGGTGCGCTGTTCCTCAAAACGCGCCGAGCCGTAAATTTCATAACCGAGACTTTGTCTTCGACGCGGGATGCCCTCATCCATGAATTTGTAAGTTCTCAATCTTGGCATTAATATATGTCTCTGATATCTTACCCAGACCAAAGTGCCATGTAGCCCCAAGGAGCAGGATTTCCTGATACTTGCCGTTGTGTTACTCCAGACTATTGGTCTCTTCCACCAACGTTCCGATTTTCGGGTTTCGTCTAATGTATATCATGGGATGCTAGTTATGGTATGTCTATTTATGCAGGACTGGCTCCGCCTCTGACCAAAGCATTCCTAGATGATCCGCCGGACAGAAGCCATCGCTCGCTCACGTTCTTGGACCGCATCTGATTTGAATGACCCTTTTGTTTTGGAGCAGACCTGGAGGGACTGGGCGCTCCACGAAACTGTGAAACGGTAAATCTTAATCGGTTCTGCATGGCTATCAACTGTTGCTGATTTCGCAATGCCATCTGTAGCGCACTATTACTCTCATATCTCCACGATTGCTGTCATTCTGTCTTTTTCTCGATGCGCCCGTCGTTTCAGACTGCGGAATTTGACATGAATCTTCCGTGCGACGAGGCCATATGGAAGGCGGAAACTGCTGCGGAGTGGATTGATCTGTTGCAGAAACCATCGCCGTACGGTCTGGGATCAGCTAGACTATACGGTGTCGGGATGCAGCAAGCTCTGGCTCATCTCGGCGAGATGAGACTCCCGACGTCACTGACACCCTTAAATCCCTTCTCACAGTTCATTCTGATTCATACCATCCTCCGTAACATCTACTACTCCTACTCGGTCTGCGATTCGGACAGTGCCTCTTCTACTTCACCCGAGCCGGTCGGCAATGAAGACCGTCGAGGGAGTCAGTTTGCAGCCCAATACACTTTGACGAACTGGCTTCGCATGTGGATGTCCTGTCCGGAGGCGGTGAAACCGGAGGATGGTGATGAGCTTGATGATGATGAGCCACCTTTTGCGCAGAATGCCCTTCCGTTCTATTGGCTGGCGCAAATTTCACTCTTGGCTATCCAAGAAGGTGGGTCTGCTTGGACTGAAGGAGCCGTGGAGAGTAGGTTTCATGTTATGAAGGAGTGGCTGGATCGTATTCGGTTCTTTTTGCGGAAAGATAAAGAGATTCCTCCGCATTTGTGGGAGGAGCTGATGGTGATTCGACGGCAGGTCTCGCAAGTTGAGATGACGGCCTTGGAGGACCATCCTGATGGTCTACTTTCTTTCTTTCCCGAGCACTAACTAATTCTGGATATGACATTGTTATAACTTGTATGCATCTAGATGCCTAAAGGTCGGTATCTGTATTACTTACTGTTCGATGTACTACTATTCAAAGCTGTCTCATAGATTCATGTATGCCTTATTTTCTTTCCCTACTACCTGCATCCCTGTAGACAGAGATCAAAGTATTGTATTGTATAGATATTCATTGCTTTTTTCGGGTGAGAGCCCGATTATCACCGTTTACAATCAGGGACCGACCTGTTCATCATCGGAAGGACGCATACTCCTGCAAATCCCAAGGCGCAGAAGAAGCTTAGTGCGAGACGGGGGAACATGGTGACCTGTACCTAACAAGAGTGATGAACATGAAGTAATGATGAATACGATGTTCGGAATGACACCGGGGGCTATTGAACTCAACTCAATGGCAAAGCGAAGAAAGGTTGAGCGATTAGGAACATACTGCCGGGGGGGTCGACAATCTTGCGGCTGCGGCAGATCCGGGATCAGCCTCCGTGCCACTGCGTTATATTTATATAAGTGCCCTTTTGATGCAAAGAGTTAAGGTTTGTTCTTACTGTATTCATGAATTTGCACCGGCAGTGGGCATAGTTACAGTCGATTGCAGGTATCATCATACGAGCGGCATGCTCAGACTCTGGTGAATTCAGCTTGAGTGGACCGTACCTTATGTGGACACCCCGTTTCCTGCCTGAGTATACTGTGGACCTGTTCGACTGATTTGAAACCTTTCAAAGTTTAAAAAATGAAAGCATCGAGAAGAAAAATCTGGCAAAGAAGCAAAAGAAGTCGGAATAATTTATAGATGGTGTCCCAAAAGCATTATTAAGGGGCAGATTTGGAGCCTTGGATCTTGTCACAGGAATGGCATATAAAAGGCGTGACAGAAGTGGGATTCGAACCCACGCCCCGAAGGACCAGATTATGTGAGCTTGGATTCGCCTGATTCTGGCGCCTTAGACCGCTCGGCCATTCTGCCGGTAACGACTCGTGATCTGTCAAGGATACTTTCTCAATCTCTGACGTCCCTGTCCTCCCAAGTGTGCTCGCCTCAGTACTCTCACCGCACAGGTGATATCATTTGTAAGTGTAACGTCAACGTTTTCTCCGATCTTCGCGTGTCTGTAATCTACCAACTGCGATTTCTGAACTCTATAATATAGAGAAGCTGCCACTGCGGTGCTGGTAGAGTCCATGCTGCTGTTTACGTCGGGGCCCGTTGGGATGCCATAAGGCGCGACGGTACAGTGGGTTTTAGCTCTGTTACTGTTCCATCCACCGAAAAGTCGCTGGTGCCGGTGGTGGATCGATCAATTTGGGGGGACATTCGGATACTTTGGACGTTCATCGAGGGTAGAGGGGCGTCTCAGGTATGCTGCAGATCGTCCTCTGGGTGGCGATGGGCTTACTACACTTTGTGTTGACAAGGCGGTACTCGACAGGGATACGCCGTGCTTTGGGTGTATGATAAGAATTGGTGTTCTTCATCTTCTTTGAGTTCTGTGCTGCGGTTCCTGGAGATTCTTGTAGGCCTGAATTAATCCATCCATTCGTGGGATCGGTATACTTGCACAGTCCCCGAGGAGTGGGTGTGTTATTCGTTCTTCGGTCATGGTTTCGACCCCCGTTTCTAGATCTGCGTTAAGATGAACGTCAAACCAGATTTGGTCCGCCTCCCAGAGGGGGACAAGGAGATTTACGATGATTATGGGCCGCTTTCTTTAGCAAAGTGGCACAAGAAACATAATCTGTGTTGAAACCTGAAGGTGATCCTATTTTTGTCTTACTCTCTTTGCTAAGGATTTATTTTTGGCTTTGTACGAGCTAGACTTGATTCTGAGAATGTGCAAACCGGACAAAATTGGGTCTAAAGTTACAAGAAATTTCGCGTTTCACACGGGCGTGCACCTATTTGTGAGCAAGCTCGGCAATTTTTCTTACTGAAATGTTTGGTCATCTAGGATTTTAAATAATCATCCTTATGGTTCTCCCAGGGTGGGGGTCTAGTCTCTTAGCCGTGTGGATTTGTGGACGAACACCACTAGCGGGCATCGCATATACTTGTGATTTGTTTCTTGGAAGCCCAAGCGACCGTCACTGTGAGAAATTTTGTGAACGGCACCCTGTTTGTGGTGGATTCTCTCAGAATCTGGCTCAGACACCCATCTTTGATTTTAATCATGCTTGACGTTGTCCCGCGATTGGTGCCTGGCAGCGAAGTTTGTCCGAAAGCGTTTTCCATGATACGGCCAACGGTTGCGACGTATATTTTTATCATTGTATTTTTGGAATTTGTTTGTCACCGTTTTACAACTGCCGTAGGGTTCACTCGTTGTCGGTGGCTTTCATTCTGGATAAGGTATTGGAGCAGGAATAGAACAGATAAGAATAGCGTGTACATGGAATGTTCAAGTATGGAGCTGTATACTGTAGTGAACATATCCGATATTGGTTTCGAATTTGAGCAGTATGCCAAAAGTCTTGAATTGGCCAAAAGACCCTGGCGGAGATTGGAAATGCGTGAGAGCAATATCGAGCAGCTTCGAATCGTGGATTGTCTAGTTGCAGACATGTTATGCGTCTGACCCTCAACCATTAGGACGTCGACGTGGTTTTGTAATCCTTCCCAGTGGCTCGGTGTGTTTCCTGGGTATTTGGATTCAGAAAGATATTTTTCGGGCCCGTAAGATCAAGATGGGCGGTCCACAGTCGAGACCAGAAAGTGGAATCCCAGTTCGTCAGTGATTCCCCTGATTTGGAGAATCTAGGACAAATTGCAGGCTCACGGATTAGGCTTTAAGACTGGTGGTCCTAGACAGCGGTGATTTTCAGACATTAATAAATCAGCTCGAATAGGATACTGGCGAAGATACGAAGTGCGGATTGTAGGTACGTATCCTGGCCTTGAGATAAATACAAAATCTTTGTAAGAGGATGCCGAAAGAAATGACACAGAGCGCCACCAACAACGAGATGATAGTTCCGGTGCACCGTGGTTGTAAAAACGACGAAAAAAGAGATTTCAGCTCGGATTGCCGGTAGATATTTGTGCCCAGGTTGATAGCTCGAAATCTACAATCGTAATCAGAATTCGGGCCGGGAATGCGGTCACATGATGAAACGTGTTTCTAAATCAATATTCCCACGATCCGAACTTCCTTGACGACGGCGTTTTCTTCCTTTCTCCCGCGACGACTAGGTCATTTCTGTGTCGAACAGCCCGTTGTCGAAGCTTGCGTGGAATACTGTTCATACTCAGCAAGAGGCCTCTATCTACCTCGTCGTCCCCTAGCAACAGCAACAGCAACAGCAACAGCAACAGCAACCGTCTCAACAGAACAAGAACAGGCTAATCTGGAGCCAGCACCATCCAAGGCCCGACGCACAAGCGTTGAAAGGCACTGATTTCATCCAAGTCGATACCCAGGACGTATACGAAGCTTCTTTCGATGAGATCTAGATCACCGCTCCCCAATATCCTTTAAAAGATGCCGACATTTGAGGATCCAACGACGAGCAAGATGGATATCAGCGATGTCGACCTTTGTGAGGTCTTGGATGTATTCAGAGATGGTCGAGGTGTGGTTGATGGAAAATCTCTGTCGAAGGTGGGTTCCCATGTCCTTTCCATTGCCGCGATATCTACTGACAAATGCTTTGTCTAAAGATACAAACTCTTACCGTTTCTCCTGCAGTCGTCATCCGTGACCGAACAAAGTTGATTGTTGTGAAATGTGTCTGCAAGCCGTGTGAGGAATTGGTGAGTACGCATTCCCATTCTGCATCTGTTTTATCGTATTGAAAATCGTCTAGTCACATCTCAGCACAACGAACTTTGCGCCACTCAGTCACGCATCATCCATCCAAGTACTTCCTTGCTTTGACATAGGTGGCAGCAGGGGCCAATGGTACGGTACATGTTCCTATTATCTTCTGTTTTCACATGTTTGTGGGACTGTTGACGCTTAGGCGTATTACTAGTAGTCTATCTTGTATGTTTATTTTGATTTTGAGTCTCATCAATTGACATTTACTACCTCATAACCAAGATGGATATTGCGCAAGAGTCTATTGAGAACCTCACCATAGTCAAGGGGCGAGCCGCGCCTTGACCATCTTCGTTACGGCTTCATCGTATTCGCCTCGATGCTACTGACAACGAATATCGTATTGAGTATATCCATTCGTCTTCATGTAAGTTTCATAGTGTAGTGTCATCTATGCTTGTTCTAGGAGTTGAGAGGACGTGAGGAGCGGTAGTGGATGAGGAGTGTTCTTAGGAGCGAGGGGTTGGGGACAAGACAAGTCTTTGTTTGGACGCCAAAGCTCTCTCACGACGGCCCTCAAGGGAAGCCGTGCTCAAGCCGGCACAGGTGAGTGTATGAAATACAAGAGGCTGTAACTAGAGTATAACGAAAATGAAAAGGGAAAGCAGCAAGGGTGGGTGCGAAAACTGCTCGAAGTCAATGACTATCAAGCTCTATGTGTGAGATAGGGAAGAAAGAGGACGAGGAAATTGCAATGACATGGATTGGCTTTATATTTCCGAGGGCAAGTGGCATTTGGTCTTTGTCATACACATTGATGACAGGAACAAAGGCAACTTTGGTGCCACCAAAGGTAAGGCCATTATCTCTTGCATAGACGACATTCAAAGGTATTTGAATGGTTCATGTGGACTCTGAACGACAGGAATTAGCTGAATTATCAACCTCCAATCCAGCATGCTCAATTTCTTTTCAATCCTCTTCCCGTCACTAACATCTCGCGAAGGTCACATGAACATCGACAGCACGGGAGAATCTCTCACGGCCATAGCTGTGGGTGACGATAAGGTGAGAAGATATCTAACTCTTGATGGTCCTTGTTCTCCGACGGGAAGGATGAATTCAAAGAATTCACGCCGGTCATTCTTGCGCATTCCTGATATTCTCGTAGCTATGACTCCGGTCTGGCATCTCGTTGAGTATATGTATGACCTTCCCGTGGGCGAGGTAGGTCAGTATTTTGTGACTTTATCTTTGCTTTGTTTATCACTATCTGTCTCGTATTCTAGTGCCTTGCATGCCGCGAACGTTGGGCTGTAGGCACATCATGATCTACCGGTCTTGTTAGCCCGTTTTAATTGTGATGGTCGTCGGTTCGCTAAATTTATACCAAGGCGAGATTACACCTCCATACACCGCGTGAAATCTCACTCTGGTACCTCAGACGGGGTCGCGATAAGGTGAGAAATTTAATTCTTGACGTCCCTTGTTTATCGTGGCTGATATTGGCCAGACTTGTCTTCAAATGCTGTGAAGGCACATTGCCTACGTCACGTGTTCCTGATCTTATATTATTAATAGCATATTTTCCTCGACGTCCCTGACGATGGATATCGCCTCCGAGCGGGCTTGGTAAGCCAATGGTTCGTCTCTTTTTCCTCTTTTCTCATTATTTTGCATGTAGCGTACCCCAAAAAACGCAAGTCAGCATCGGTTCCCTTGCCATGACAGGGCTTTTGGGTAGCTTGAATGTGGAGGACGTGATTTGCTGGTTTTCGTGGATTCGCGTGGTCTTGTAACGTGGGGTTTGAAGGAATGGAGGATTCTGCGAGTGATGATGGAGGCTGTGGATAAGTTATTCTATGATGGACGAGCTTCTTCAGCGCCGAGTAAAAAGCAGATATTGACCTGGGCCCAGTGCTAAGCCTAGTCCGAAGCTGCAAGTGAGATGTGGACGGAGAGTGTAGACGTATGTTTTCGTGATTTTTTCCATTGCTTGCTCCGTAGTTGCTGCTAACGACGTCTTTCACAGAGTCTTATTGATCTGACCGGTTCGGACAAGGGAGATGAGTGATAAAGAGTGTACGAGTGAAGGGACGTATATGTATATTTAGCACTACGTTTGTCGGTACTTTTTCTGCTCTGCCTTGTGCTGATACTCATCGACTACAGTCTGTTGACCCTTGTTACCGTCATTTAAACCCTCGGAAATGGTTGAGAAAGGGTAGAGGCACGCCCGTCACTGTTTTTTTTCCTCTTTCCTAGGGATCATGTTCCTTTCGGAAATCGAAGCTCAGCCGAACGCTTCAGCCATAGCTGTTTGGGGTCCCCCGCATCAGCGTCATTGGCATCATCAATCCTGATGTCACCGCAATTTCAGAGACCACGACTGCTCTTCTTTCTAGACGCATTAAAAGAGTCAAGGTTAGGTTCGTGTTTGTTTGGCCCGGTTTTCAGTGTTCATAGCCGCGTTTTAGCTCAACGCTCAACAAGAAGAGATTGTCAGTGCAGACGCGCTCGTTGAATGGTACAGGAAGGAGATTAGAGATCTCAGGGCACGTCTCGCAGGAAAAGAGGTGCCGTTGATGATTGATACCGGCTTCATAGGGATCCGCGAAGGAAAGAAGAAGAGGTAAACCAGTACTACCTCCTCCGTGTCTCATCGCTGATCGTTTGGATAGAAAAAGGCTAAACTGAAAGCTGTGAATGACCTGAACACCAAAATCCGGCATGCACGAAGCTTATCCTGACGAGCTGGTCACCGCTCGGTGGGTCATCGGCGGACTGAGCCGTGAAGTCCCCTCAAGGTCGACTTTGATACGTCTCCCTGCTAGTACTAGGTACACTATTACTCCCTTCCTTCTTTCATATTTCACATCTCGCGCATAGTTCCAACAAGATCTCAGAAGATCTCCGTGCTATCCGTGTCCTGCCCGAATCCTATGCTCTTGAAGCCACTCTGGAAGCACATGCGCTCGTCCTACCGGAGAATGAGGTGATCGCGCACCAGGGGAGTGCGATCAAGAAGCTGGAGATGGTGGTGAAGCGGTACGTAAGTAATCTCGGGAGCCGCTAAAGGCTGTTAAAGAGGCTGTTAAGCAGGGGCATCCAGGGTGGATCAGAGCTGAGTTTTGGGTTCGATACAGGTTTTTAGACGTCCGTCCCAGTCATCGTAGACTGGTGCATAAGGATCACCACCGCCAATCCGGACCGTTTTTGCCTTGTGATGATTGTTTTTTTGCCGTGGATCATTCTAGTACTACCGTTGAGGATCCGTTGTGATGGACCGTGTGTTCTTGTAGCACCTATGTTGGCGTGTGCAGCGAGATTCGCTTAGAAATCATATAGATATTATGAAGATGCCAGGTAATAAAATGACTTGCGTAGTTCACCGAGTGATATATTGTGGTGCCTGGCATAACTACGAGCTAGCTTGCCTGAGTAAGCATGGAGCGCCATCAGAGATTAAGCCGTTAGTAGCGAAGACCACGCAAGATCGTAATCGAAATGTGCGGTGTACATTTCAGGGAATCAGGAATCAGCGACGGATCCGACAGGTCCAAGGAACGATCGGCTGTGATAAGTGCGCCGATAATGCTACAAAGAACGCGGCCAAGACGGACACTCTGGTGTCCCGAATGAAAGGGAGTAATCAAAAAAGGGCGAACTGCTGTCGTAGGGGCCCAATTGAAAGCAGTTTATCCCATTGTTACCGGGGTTGAAGAGAAGTCAGCATTCGTTCGGATATCTAGACACCGAAACTGGTATCTTCCCTTCCAAGGCAAGACGTAAATCGCATTTATCGCTATACCTTTTAGGGAATCAGTTGCATAGTGAGTATACGATTGGAGAGTACACATCCGGTGTGTATAACAGGGACGACGATGTGGACGGACGACCACAACTGCGGGGTGGACAATGCTAGGTCCTCACGTGGGTCAGGAGCAGCGACGACTGCTTCGATAGCATGACTGCGTTATGGTCGTCAGGGTGAGAAGGAACGAAGATTTCTTGTAGCGTCTCTGTGGAGAGCGAGCGGATTGGCGAGACGAGAGCCTTGTGGGAAAATAGAAAGCCTTCCTTTTTGGTGCGAGGAGATAAGAGCACTTGGCGTTGAGCTTGGAGGCGTTCCAGTTGTATATCCACATCCTGGAATTCTGTGTCGATACTAGAGATTTTGGAATCGAATTGCCTTCTAAAAATGAGATAATAATCGACTGTAATAATTTGTCTGCATTAATGGGGTAGTGGTAACCTGGGTCTTGGCCGGCCGGGGGTTCGATTCCCAGTCTGTGCACTTCTCTGTGATTGCAATTTTTGTTCTAGATTATCTCGATTCTTCCCAATGTCTAGGTTTACTTTACTACTGACTAGTATTCTACCGGGAAAGCTGTGCAGATTTTGCACCCTAACCGACACATTACTGGTGTAACTCAACTCGCCCAAAACTGACTTCAGGTTTGTCCGCATTACGTCCACATTGAATCATGTGGATCCGTGGTAAACATCATGTTGGGCGGCAGCCTCGTGCTTTTCTACTCTTTGTTCCTTGTTTACGCTTCATCATTACAAGTATTCGCACTCGAGGAATCCGACAAGTATTGTTGGTATCTCTTTTTATGCCAGCCTCTGGTTGGCTGATTGATACTTATTATTCTGTTTCTCAGTGCCAAATGTCGGGGAAGCAACATCGCGATTTCCCTAACTGTCCCTTATGTGGATCTGTAGCAAGGCAATCCTTCGCGCAGAGCATACGCAGACCTCGCATCTTACAGTTGCATCAATGCAATGATGCCCCAACGGATGCAGAGTTGTCCGATTTCCAGGAGATAGTCAAGAAGGCATCTGGGCGCATTGCTGAACTTGACGAGAGGATTGCAGATGCCAGGAAGACACTTGATGCTCTTTTGTCAGAGCGTATTTTAATAGAGGAAGACTCTAAGGATGCCAGAGCGCTTTCCTCGCCAGTTCGAAGGCTACCACACGATGTTCTTCGTGCGATCTGTCTCGAGACCATACCGTCTCCTTTCCAAACCATGTCCAGGTCGGATTACTACAATAGTCTGGATCACAGAAATTCTCCTTGGACGGTATCGCAGGTCTGCCATGGTTGGCGATTGATTATGGTTAGCTCGCCGGAGCTCTGGTCGTCCATGTCACTCATCCTATCAAATGATTTTTCATCCTCGATTTTTTGCCAGATGTTCCTGCTTGGACTTCGGCTCGAGAGGTCCCAGAACGCTTCCCTCACCGTGGCGTGCTTTAGCAACTGCGATATTTCCTCTCACCCGTTACTTTCTCTCGTCATCACCCGCATAGCAGTGGTAAAGAATCTACGCATTGAGAGCACTTTCCAATCACTTCTAGCACTTTCTTTCTGCCGAGGGCGCTTAGAGCGACTTCATAATCTCAAAATCGATGCATCGAAAAGCAACAGGGTGGCGTTCGGGTCTTTTATTGCCGAGCAAGCTATTGTCAATATTGATGCGTTTGAATATGCGCCCACTTTACAAACATTTTCAATGTACTGCATGCAGCCTCAGCCTATCCCCGTCGTCCCCTGGACACAGCTCACACGCTTTGGGCTTCAAATCGACCGTCCGAAAGAACTCGAAGTTCTTCGACAAGCGAAGAATATCCAAGATCTCGAAATCCATATCGGGGGGATGTTTATCATCCCCGAAGGTTATATCGCCGTCCCCCTGCCTTTCCTCACGTCGTTGACACTTTTATCGACGAGAACTTCGGGAACCTCATGTGAAGTTCGCTTTATGTTCTCATTGCTATCCATCCCGAACCTCGTCGATCTACACCTTATCTATGCTGGAATGCCCGTCCTTCCACATATTAAATCGCATAATACAATCACCACACTCAGAATCACGAGGCTTTCGTCCACCGCTGGAAGCGGTATAGAAGGCTACACATTTCCCGGCTTAACGAAGTTGTTGAACTCGGTGGTTAATCTCCAACATCTCATTCTAGAGTCAGCTAGAGCATTATCGTTGGATGATATATCTTTCCTGAACCCTTCAACTTCCAGTGTACCTCTTCCTCGTCTTAAAGCTCTTGATGTTCGCGGCTGTACATTCGGTTTCGCTCATTCCATCTTCGTGGAGATGATTAAGGCTCGCAGACAGCGAACGGATCCAAAGTGGGATCAAGTTGACACCGTGTATTTGGGCTCGTCGCTCATGCTGGATGATTCCGCTGTTGGAATTTGGCGAAATCTACTTGACGACGGCCTGAATGTCGTGTACGGAGAATCACAAGGATAGTCGTTTTGCGGATCAGGAGTCAGTCTCTTCGTTCTCTTTATTTACGTACTTTGACTTTCGCTTTTAGTCGTTAGTAAGTAATATGAAATGAAATTCGTCCAGTCTACTTACATTACGATGTATCTTTTTACTCTGCTAGTGAGTCCTTGAGTTACCAATTGGACAAACACCCATCGAATTCATGCTAGCCAGTGGCTGACCCGATGAAGTGTGTGAAAGTTATCCACGTGATGTATGGCGTTGTGCATCGAAGTTGCTCTTCTATCACTGTCACTTCAACGTTCCCCTTTGCCCAACCAAACGGATAGAGTAGGCTATTCATCTCATTTTAGGCCCAGTAGCTAATGCTTGCTCCTGACAAGTCTTAGTAAAACGACATCAAACCATCCCCAAGATTCTGACATGTGTCCTACATGCGGCACTGTCAAGAGGAAACCATCTGTACCGCATGCACGGTCGAGTCGAGTCTCAGAGCTTCTGTGGTGCAACGATATCCCCTCAGAGACAGAACTGTCCGGTTTCCAAGATGTGGTCAAGCGGGGGCCTGAGCGTATCGCTGATGTTGATGAGAGAATCATGCGAGCCAAGGAGCTGCTTGGTACGCTTGTGCATGAGCGTAAATTGATGCAGTCGGAAATCTCAGATGCAGAACTCCTGGAATCGCCAGTACGACGATTACCACCCTATGTTATGCCTCGAGACTATCCCTTTCGTATCTGATATCATGTCGCCAAGCTTCGACTTCTTCAATAGTCTGGATTCTAGGACATCGCCATGGACAACATTGCAGGTCTGCCGTAGATGGCGATCGATCATTGTGGGGGCCCTAGAACTGTGGTCATCCAGGTCTCTAGTAATAAAGACGGGACCATTCAAGGCGATGTCGACCATAGGCGAAATCCGATGGCCACAGGCCAACTTCAACAGATTCCTGCTTTGAATCCGAATGCAGAGGTCACATAGCTTTCCCCTCACACTGTCATTATGGAGCTCCAGTGACATTTCCCAGCACCCTGCTCCTACAGATATTTCTATCCACGCCTCGGCGCTGAAAGGTCTTCTTATCCATATCCCTGCTCCATCTCTCACTGCATTGTCCGGATGTCGAGGACGTCTAGATCGCCTAGAACATCTAATAATCGAATTAAACAAGATGTGGTCACAGAACTGGACCATCAATACATTCGAATATTCGCCGAAGTTGCATATTTACCGCGCACATTCGACTTTTTGCTCATACAATGAAGATTCCATGGTTCCAGCTCAATCACTGTGGTCGACGAATCGTACGTGACACTTCTTGGATGTCCGGATAATGTCAGAAGCGCCGATATATGCAGCAGAGGAATGCTATTAAGAGTACCTCAGGGACGCAAACCCATCCATCTCCCTCGTCTCACATCGTTCGCGCTCACCTCTGATAATCCTATGGGTACTCCGGTACACCATCGCCTCATATTCGCGTCATTTTTTTCCCTATCTCTCCCAAATCTTGTCGATTTATGTGTCACCTATTCAGGAATCTCAGTGCTTCCCCATATCAGTATTCGGCCCAACGTGATTACTAGGCTCGAACTCACAAGGCTGTCATCTACTGCTGGAAGTAACGAGTAATATACATTCCCCGGCTTTCAGGCATTACTGAATGCCGTGCCAAATCTCCATTGCCTCGCTCTAAACTCTGCTCGAGCGTTATCAACCGATGACATATCTCTACTCGCCGGTATCCCATCGTTAGCTGACATGCCCATACTGCATCTGAGATCCTCGATCTCAGTGGTTGAAAACTCAAATTTAATCATTCGAGCTTCGTCGAGATAGTCTTCGTCGACATGCTCAAGGATTCTAGACGAGAGAATAACACAGGCTGTGATCAAATAGAGACTGTCTATTTGGCCTCTCCTCTCGGGCTAGATGTTCCTCTCGTTGCCGAGATCTGGTACAAGCTCCTCAACGAAGGGATGAATGTGGTGTATGGAGCACGGGGTGTGGTAGATGAATGATGGTCTTGGACATCAATTGGTATTCTTCAAGGACATTTTCCTCAGTTCTCTTTGTCTCACTATGTATGATTGAGTTTCAGGGATCCATACGCTAGACATATATGGAAATTTTGCCATGTTTTCTTTTTTCCTTACTACGGCAATTCTATTTTTACGAGTACAGCATGTCTCAGGGGCCAATACCTGAAGCGACATAAGACATATCTTCAATTGGTCGTGAGATGATAAAAAGGTGTGGTCAATTGTAACCTCCTGCATCTTTCTTTCCACTACCGTCACCTCAAGCTAAATAACTTTAGCACATGTTTCTTTTCGATGTTGTTTTCAAGCGTATAGCTGATAAATGTTTCCTTAATCCAGAAGATGTCATCAATCACGAATAAACTTCCTGATTCCTGTCTGACCTGCGGATCTTTCACAACAACGACGCTTTCGGACCATGCGCGTTCATCCCGTGTCTCAGAGCTGCTCAGTTACAACGATCCTCCATCGGATAGCGGGCTCTTGGATTTCCACAACATTGTCCGGAACGGGACAGGGGAGAATCGTAGACCTTGACGAGAAGATAGCGCGCGCTAAGGAACATCTTACCGACCTCATTCTCGAGTACGGAGACTGCCAGAGGATGTTCTTCGCGTCATCGCTCTTGAGATTAGCCCATCTATTGACGATATCATGAGTCCCAAAGAGGTACGATATCACAGCAACAGCAATCTAGATACCAGGAATCGCCCTGGACATTGACACAGGTCTCTGAAAGATGGAGATCAATCATTGTGAACGCAGGGGAGTTGTGGTCATCCATGTCTCTAGCAATTAAGCACAATGAGACACCCTCTACAGTCGTCCGTCAGGTGTCCATGGCTGGACTCCGACTTGAAAGATCGAAATCTTTCCCTCTCACTATATCCCTTTCAAGTCTTCCCTCCGCAGACATTTTCAAACACCCATTGCTCTTTCTCATCTCCACATGCTGTTCGTTAATACGGAATCTTCGCCTCAGTGTTTCCCCCATATGCTTTCCGGTGTTGTCGTGGTGGGGAGGGCATTTGGATAAGCTCTACCATCTAATTCTAACCAGACCCTCTTCACTTAATTGGTGGCAACGTTCACCAAGAGCTCTACAGAATGTCATTAATGCATTTGAATTCGCCCCTAAGCTGAAGGTAATCACTACATGTCTCCCCTACGATCCCTTGAATTTTGTTTTTTGCCGTTTCCCAGAAGCTCAGATTATTCACCTTGACCTTGTACTCTTCGATTGGAACGATGTCAACATTCTTCGACAACTGGACAATCTAGAGTCTCAATCTCGGATATGGAAATTGTAACTACCTGCAGCCCCGGAAGGCTGCATATTCATTTCTCTCCCGGCCCTCACCTCCATGTCCCCCATATACAACTGTGTATGGGTATATACATCGTGTCATTCACAACCCCCAAGTGACCCTATCTTACCCTTGCTTTCATCTCGAAGCTCACTGAGCTGACGCTCACCTATCGCAGAGGAACCAACGTTTTCCCTACTATACCGACGCCTAACGCGATTGAAACGCTAAACTCGGAATTTAGTGAAACTCCCTTCCTGGAAAGTGACGACCAGGGTATGGTTCCTAAGCTACTGTTCGAATCCATCCCCAACCTGCGCTACCTTTCTATAACATCTCAATCGAGGCCCCTATCAGTATATAACGAAGCCCTGACGGTTTCATTATTAATACGCGTGCCCCTGCGTCATCTCCGGACACTCGACCTCCCCGGATTGACGCCCACTTCCACCCATAGTAGATGTCTTGAGATGATCATGGCTCGCAGGCAGGGTAATAACCAAGAGATAGACTAAGTGGAAACCCTGTACCTTCGTTATCCCCTGAATCTGGGTTCCCCTCACGCTCGTATGTGGCGGAATCTAATTGATGGAGGGTTGAAGGTCGTATACAGGGAGGTATGACGAAAGAATTTCTGCATTTCGAACCTCCGGAGATATGGAGCACCTCATCTCGTTCTTTATCTAATTTTAGTGCGACCGGGTATTTCTCCGCCTTGCATTGAATTTATGTCCACCAATTTCTTTCCAGATAGGCTTTCTTGTAGATTGGTACCATGACTAGAGCTATTGATACCATAGTTGTACTGAGACATTTATCGAAGCTGGATTTCCCAGTAGGCCTCAGAGATGCGGAACAACATCAGAACAGACACGAAAGACAGAATCGACGCGTGTGCATGACACGTTCGCCTTTAACAATGCCTTATTTGTCTGGAAAACACGGCGGTCAAATGTGGCGGAAGGCCACCATGTGATATCAGTTTTCACGCTCTGAGTCAGTCCTGACAGACAGTACACATGTGATATACAGTCGCTTCGTGTATCTCCTTCACTGCTACCGCAAGGCTTGCGTCTTTGTCGAATACTATAGCGTTGATGCGTATGTCCGCCTTCATTATCCTCGCCTGCAGTTAATGTTTCATTCTTTGATCCACAAGATGAAGCTACCCTTCTTGCCGCTAGTTCCAAAAATAGATCTACATCTATGGGAACATTGCCGGGAGACACACACTTGCCTCGCATACCAGACCTTCTCAGATGCAATGATGTTCCGTCGGATAGAGAGCCATCCTGTTTCCAGGACATAATCATCAAGTGGGGACCTAAGCTTCTCGTGAATCGTGATGAGAAGATCCCGCATGTCAAAGTTCTTACCGAGTCTCGTATCAATGAATGTCACATGGTGCAGGTGAAAATCGAGGACGCCAAAGTACTCCTTCTCCAATGAGAAGATTACCCCATGATGGTTCTTCGCTCCATCGCTCTTCAGACCATCCCCTTCCCTTCTGAAATAATGTCGCAAAGCATTGACTTACACGATAGTCTGGGTGCTAGGAGATCCCCATGGACGTTGTCTCAAGTCTGCGAGAGCTAGCGAGCGACTACTGTCAGCTCTCCGGACCTGTGGTCATCTGTCGTGCTCGATATGGTGGACGATCTCAATGATCCTTTGTCATCTATTTGCGCACAATTTTCATGCTTGGAATCCATCTTGAAAGGTCACGGAACGCACCCCTCACCGTATGGATTCGCAGTACCATCGACGTTGCAGATCATTCCTTTCTTTCCCTCATTTCAACCCTCGCTTCCTGTATCGAAAATATATTCGTTTTATGCAATCGTCTTTGTTCCATGCAAGGCCTTTCCCGGGGTCGGGGGAGTTTGAATAGGCTCTGTCGTCTGAAAATCAAATCAGTGGATGCTACTGGTCAGCCTACGTCTCGGATACATGATGGATTTGATTATGCAGGAAATTTGCGAGTCTTCGAGGGGGAGATGCCGCAGCCATTGGTCATTCCCTTCATGTCCTGGAGCCATCTTGCCCACTTAATGTTTCCAGTCTACGGTACGCAGGACCTTGATCTTCTTCTACAGGCGAAGTGTATGAAGAGTCTCGAAATTAACGACATGGGAATCACGATCACCCATGCGAGGAATGGCACGGTAAGAGAAGCATACAGCTCTCTCCTGACAGATTGATACTGCTCGAATCTGTAACTAATCTTCGCCACCTTGGTATATCGTCTACTGTAGCGCTATCAATTTATGATATATCCCCGATCGCTCCCTGTACTAAACACTCAGTTAAGACGATAAAGGCCCGAAGGCAGGGTAAGAACCGAAAGATTGGCCAAGTGGAGACCGTGTACCTTTCCGGGGTTATATCATCATTCTGCAGTGCAGCGGTATTTTGACCTCTCACAGAAGACCACTGTGCAGAGCATATCAGTTTTCATCGCGGCGTATTTCCCTCAATGATCGATAAATTATTTTAAGGAACACCACTTTGGGAATCCTATCCGAAACACCATGATTTCGAGACAATGAAGGGAGTAACCTGATCGATGTCAATACGATCAATTCATGCGTCGCGTTCTCTTATGGAAGGGCGTACTTCTTTCATCGTTTATGTTATCCATCCCTCTCCACCAATCCATAACCGCGTCGAAATTCCTACTACGAAGGAGCTCTCGTCTATGAAGAGTACGGGTGTCAGGTGAAGCTCGCGGAGATCCCTATTCATTCGGCTATTCCACGTCAAATCGTTCATTCCGGGTAACTCACCTCCTACACGAAATACAGTATCGTACCGTTAAGGCCCTGTTACCATACGGTATACGGAATACCCTACCCGGGACGTTTCTTTTCCCTCATCCTCGCTATAAGTAACGAACTGCGGGACCTGAGAATTATAATCGCTCTTCCGCCATGATCATCACATCTTCTGGAAAGATCTTCCATTCATGGATCACAGAGCAGTCACCGCGTACTAACCACCCTCCAGTCGTGGAACACTGGGATTATCGTCACACATTAGATTCTCCGCAGCGAAGGACAGGCGAGCAGAGAGTAGACAACGACACGTCTGCCGTGCGCCACAAACGTCACTCAGTGTCTACTTATCTTCAGGTTCGCCGTCGCGCACGGGGATGTCAGCCGCCTTGTACTTATAAATAGAGAAGATCTATTTATGGCGCAGGCCGGCACTGACATGTTTCCGACTCTTCGGCTTTTGCCTTTTAGACACAAAAACTCTCAGAATCTGGGCCGTCCGTCGCATACCGTTTAGGAACATAATAAGGTCAAGGGCGAAATACAAATTATACGCTTGAGCCGCGGTCGTCGAGTTGTAATTAATATGGCAGTCGCAAATAACGACCGCGTGTAACCGTTTTTCCAACTCGGCAATCCCTTAACAGCTATGGAAAAAACTTTCGGAGCTTATCCCGCTATAGCCGAATAGGCGCGGGAGGGGGCGGAAGGATCATATTGGGAACACCGCCGAACCGGGATACATATGATGCGCGACCGAGAACGAAAGTAGAAGAGGATTCGAGAACATAGCACTGGAAAACGTCCGGGAGCGGGGCTCCGCAGTGTGGGGGAGGGGTGGGGAGGCTCGACCAACGGATTGGATCAGACATCAGAGAGCCAATGTGATTGCGTGCTGTGGGGCCCCAGGTGCTCCTGAGCTGGTCTTTAGTCCGTATCGAGGAGCGCAGACGCGGATATGAAAGAGAGCGAGAGAAACGTCGGCTACGTAGGCGATGAGAGTAACGTCAGATAACCAGGGATGAAACCCGTCTTAATACTCATGCGAGTAACGGCATCGATGCACCGTGTCAATATATCGGATCATCAGCAGGTGATGGATGAATCGGGAAATGAAGGTCTAAAAAATACCCATGCTAAGCTATCGGTCTCGGTTCGCAAAGGTGACAGCAGGTCCAGGGGGTGCGTGTTGGATGTGATAGTCGAGAACGAAGACGTGAAAGGCATCTCGAACGGAAGCCAAGGATAGCTATCTTTCGTCCAGGAACGCGAAGAACCCCCGCCTACGAAGCCGACCCGTCGCACCGATAAAGGTTCCATCAAGGATGTGCACGGTGATAGGTACGCCACCTAGCGGATGGCACAAGCTCCAATTCACAGGCTGATATAGGTAGAATGGAGAAGATCCGTTTTTCTTCTGGTCAGCTGCGGTATAACATCGAGGTAAGACAGTTGACTTTGAACGGAAGGCAAAACAAAAACGAGACATAGGCTTAGGACATAAGCATTGACTTTTAAACAACGACCTTCCGGGTTCCCCTAGTAGACCCTATCGCTAGTCTCTCACCTCGAAACCAACCAGCCCAGTCAAGGAACAAGTTACAAAACGTAGTATAAAGGAAATGCCGAAGGGAGTGGACATAAGGAGGAATATTTAGCCATGCCGTGGGAAATTCCGAAACCCCCACATATCGCGATGATTGCCGCTTCGAGAGGGCCCATAAAAGGGAGGATGTGGGGAACGTTAGGCAATTTGGGATTCAATCCATTCTTGCCCCTCCCACCACCTCTGAACCCATCATGGCTCCCTACTTTTTAATGAATCTAATTCCTCAACGCCAAAAGACTGATGACGAGGCAAGACCGCTCCTGACGGCACTCGCCGGACTCTCGTGGATACAATGGGCACATTTCTTCTCAGGGTGAGCATCACGACGTTTAAGCGCGCTTGGCACCGGCTGATCGACCTTTGATTTCTTAGGTGGCTAGCATGGACCTGCGATGCCATTGATTTCTTCTCCGTATCCCTCACCGTCTCCCGATTAGCAACCCAATTCGACAAGAAAACGGCCGATATCACAACTGCTATAACGTTAACACTCCTCTTGCGAGTCGTCGGCGCCGTCATCTTTGGTATTCTATCTGACCGGTTCGGACGGAAATGGCCCCTCGTCTTTAACCTCGTCATCGTCGCCCTTCTCCAGCTAGGTGCAGGTTTCGTCAACACTTTCAGCGAGTTCCTCGCTGTTCGTTCCCTATTCGGTATCGGTATGGGCGGTATTTGGGGGATGGCGGCGAGTACGGCACTTGAAAATTTGCCCGTTGAGGCACGCGGCTTGGGAAGTGGCGTCATGCAGCAGGGTTATGCTGTTGGCTACCTTTTCGCTGCTTGCATCAATCTCAAGCTCGTCCCCGTTGTTTCGCCCACTTGGAGAGCCCTTTTCTGGACGGCGTCAGGCATCAGCTTCTTCGCGGCGGTTATCCGCGCCATATTGCCGGAATCGGAGTACTTCCTCAAGCAGAAGGCGAGGGAGCATGGCCACACGAATAGCACAGAGAAGACGAAGACGTTTATCAAGGAGACTGGAAAGATGGTCAGAATCCATTGGTTGCTTTGCATCTACGCGCTGCTCTTCATGACCGGCACGTACCGTTCGCTTCCTTCTGATCGTGGAACCTTCCATTGATATCGCTGATAGGGTTTAACTTCCTGTCCCATGGCTCCCAAGACTTGTATCCCACATATCTCCAAGATTCAAAAGGTATCAGTAACCACGATGCCACCATTGCAACGATCATTGGAAATTGCGTACGTTTATTCCCCCTTCCCTCTTTCATCCCCAGTCTGGCTGACTGACTAACTATCACTATCAAGGGTGCGATCGCCGGAGGCGCGATAGCTGGCTTTGTTTCTCAATACATCGGTCGTCGGTTGACCATCGTCATCTTCGTCCTCCTCGTCGGATGCTTCATCCCTCTCTGGATCATCCCCAGCAGCTTTGGCGCCCTTGCTGCCGGAGCTTTCTGCATCCAATTCGGTGTACAAGGTGCCTGGGGTGTCGTGCCAATCCAACTTGCCGAGATGTCACCACCTGCATTCCGTGCTACCTTCCCTGGCGTCGCTTATCAGCTCGGTAACATGGTATCGTCCGCCAGCGCTCAGATCGAGGCTACTGGCGGCGCCCATGAGCGTACGACTATCACACGTGCGAACGGCACCACAGAGAACGTTCCTGATTACGCCAAAGTCCAGGGAATTCTCATTGGATGTGTTGCGGCCTTCCTGATCGTGGTGACGATACTAGGACCTGAAAATCACGGATCACACTTCGAGAAGCACAAAACGGCATTTGAGGAGGGCGGAGGAGAAGACGACGCTGTTGTGGACGACGACGATGCCCCCAACCACGCAGGTCCATCCCATATACGAGAGTCGGCAAGTATAAACGAAAAGGCATCGGTCGACCAAAAGGAGTCGGTGAATGTTTGATAGTGTTCTTGGATGGATTTTATTATGATGGTCATGTTGTTAACTAACAGATTGTATTCTGACGAACTTAACGTCGATTGCTTGTACTGTACGTACTTGACGAAGAAGTGGAATTAGCACTTACAAAAGCATATCTTAATAACTTAACTCTACGCACCTTGCATTTCGACGATGACCACAATTCCACCCTCTTCGTTGCCTCAGCGACTCATAAGTCATGTAAACCGTCGCATGGCCTGCATGTATGCGTCTGAAATATCCACAGCTTAGACGACGTCTTAGTATGCAGTTTCATGAATACTAACTACTTACTCGTCGTCTCCTAGACTGAGTTGTGCATTCATCCTCCTAAGGTCGCTGATGCTGCTCGTTCAACCATGTATCTGTCTCTGCTGCCAACAACTGAGAAGCAGGAAAGGAAAGCGGTCATCGTGCGTGTAGGCGGTGTCGCTGTTATATGCGCCAGAAGGGCAGAAACGGCTCAACCAGAAACAGGCGTACCATCGCCATTTGGCTCAGCCTAGATCATCCACAGCTCCCCAACGAGTTTCAAATATATGTACTAGGATTTTCCATCAAGAATAAGTGGTAAAAGGCCGCATATATTCACCTTCAGCGCGTCTCACCAAGAACAGGCCAAGCCTAAGCGTTCCCGCCGTCTCCCATAAAACAGGGAATAAGGTGACGGTGGTAGAAGACCAAGAAGCGAATCGGCCTCTGCCGGCTGAAAACGTGACCAGCGGCGAGATTCTACGTCTTAAGTAATCTCGCCTTTTTGGGTACCACCATCCGCATTTAGAGGAGCATCGAGCGCTGGCTGATGATAATATTATCCTCAGGCATCGTCGAACAATGCTCTTTTTTTTGCGTGAATCATCAAGTTTCAACCAATCGTTCTATAGCTCTTGGTATCATTCTCTGCTCTTCTTTGACTTTATGTGACGATATAATTCTCACAAAGAACAATTGTGAGCATCGGCATTTCTAGCATTTCTGCATCCTCTTCACGTCGCAGGGGTCGATTTCATTTTCCAGCCCGGATGACGTTAACGAAAGTCGCGACCCTTGCTGCAAATATCTTTCTGCATCACCAACAAATTTTTCTGATCATTTTTTCTTGCGAAATGTTCGTTCAACGCTTGTGTTTGCCCATCTGCTAAAACTCTTCTATTTGACAGGTATTGATACTACCAAGGACCGATCTTCACGGCGACTAAAGCCGAGCGCTTCCAAGGTTTATTTTCTCCATATGATGAAACATAAACTGCGCTGATGGACCAACATGCGAAAGATCATTGATGACATCCTTTCAAGGCTTAGTCTACATTTCAGCGCAACAAAAGACCTCATGCTCTTCAAGTCAGATGCTGATCCTTCTCCAGGAAACTTAATATCAAACTAGTCCACGAAGAGGTAATTATTAATGGGCGCACCGTCGCAGGAACACATGTCCAGTATACCAATTCTTTGGCCTAACACAATATCAAGAATACCAGGCTTCCTTCCAAAATTGTTGTTGCTGTAATTCAGACTGCAAGCTTCAATGCACGCTGTCAGTCTGAGAACAAATTTACATGTTACTTGTCAGGCTGCCCACAATACCCCTTCCAGTGCATAAGATTTGGCATATTCTCCGCTAAAAATACAATTCTGACTTCCCATCCTGCTCGACGAGTAAAAAAACAGATCTGCTCATATCTACAGATGTTAGCATCAGCCTAGCATCAATGCAGAAAATCAAGGTCACCAACCCAGAATTCAATGGCGATTCAACATATCATATTCAAAAGCCAGGGCCTACCCACCCAAGTGACAAGCTCTGTATGGTCACGATACTCATCAGTATTTGGATGTATAAAGACACATGAGACTCGGGTAGAGGAATACAAGGACAAGTCAAACTGACGAGGAAGGTCCACGGTTCACCACCAGCCAGGAGAACAACGTCCCCGTCATGTGAGGCGTAAAAGTATCCACTTCAAACATTGCGACGGGGTGAGTCCCCCCGTAAAGCACTCCCAGAATCGATAGATTCTCATCTATACAGAAGAAGATTAGCCTTGAAACATAAAGCATAAATCAATGTGTACCTCGGGAAATTCTCTTCTGATCCTTTCGTGCAGCTTTCCGGCATACTCTATCTCGTCCGGAGCATTCTGCATATAATAGACTGTCGTTCAGGCTTCAGAGTCATCAACCCTCGGCCAGAATGCCAACAGGACTTACTGTCAAAGCCGAACCCATTATTAGTTTTATCAATTGGATCCACGAACTCGACGTATGCCTTGCTGAGCACTAGCTTGCCCCACTCGTCCTTCTGTATGTCGTTCATCAGCGCTTCGCCCTTCAGGTTGACCCCGGTCGGTAGAGGTGAGGCATTCTCGTGTCCAATGAGAAGAGAAGGGTATTTGTCCATTATTCGGGGAGCCTAAGGGGTGGTGGTCCTGCGAAAAGCAGACTCCATCCTTATATACTGTTCGTCTGGCATAATCGCATGAGTACGTCGTGTCATCGCAGGAACGTAAGCATCAGTACTTACTGTGGGGCACTCTCGTTATTCAAGGACACTGGACTGCCTGCCAGTGGGACGACTATGGTGTATTCCTTTTCATAGTAGTCATGATAGTGTACGCAATTCAGTCCCGTATTCAATGTGATGTATATCGAAACTTACCAACACAATTGAGCTAAGGGATATACCCATCGCTGAAGCTCAACATCGCCTCAAAGCATAACCAAAATGGTACTGCATGTCTTACCAATGGCACTAGCGTATGTTTCGCATATCGCTCGAATCTATAACTAAAAAGTAGAAATCATATGCGCAATGGTAACGATATTATTCTAGTGGGAAAATATCCAGCTCTTGCAATAAAATATGAATGCCAAGCCACTGCATGTAATGTTATACTTGGCAAGTGGAGCAAATGAGCCTCGGAATGCAACACGCGTCCTTGCAAAGTGACTTATTTTGAATCGGCAATGCATAAGCCTCGGAACGCTAAAAATAGATTTACTAAAGGAATCCCAGGTGAATGTGACGACCGTAGATCTGTGGAAGATACTGATACTAAGCGTGGCCGTGACTGGATATTCGTCGTTGAATCTGAGGACAGGCGCCTAGATATCTATCATACAGGCGGGCTATAGGGGTTGTGCTCCGCAGATGTTTTGAGGCGCTGCCGAACAGGGAGAGCATCCTGCAGGAAGACGTATCCCATAACATAGAAGGATATCTTTCAGTATTTATGGAACGTAATCTTCCGTGTGTCTGCTTCAATATGATTTCGTGCCCGACCGGTCATGTAACGTATATCCCTGTCGTGTGAAGGAAGTGAGAGCTGTAGCCACGACGTTCCCGAAGGAAGTCACGATACGGTCCCCAGAAAAAGTCGAGGAGAACGAGGGTATGTGTTTCCAAAGACCGAAGGGGAACAAATCCATGGCTCTTCTACATATGTTCCTACCAACATGAGTAGGGGAACTGCGGCGTCATCCCCAGCCACGTACCAAAGAAGGTCGTGTTGCAGGAGTGGACATAGGAGATAACGCAATCAAGAGTTCCTCGCCGTCTGGAAGATGGCGCTTATTGTACATTTGTCATTGATAGGGTATGGTGTGAGCTCTTGGAAAAGAATACTGTTGGGATTTTGCTGGAAAGTTCTAGAAGGGGCAATCCAGCATCATGCCGAGAGTTGATGAGTAAGCTCGAGAGAAAGAGAAAGTTGTAGTAAATTCTAGATACAAGCCTGAGAGTATAAATACAAGCTCTGTAGGAGCTGAAGAATAATAAGTTCATTCTTTCTGGCCTTACCAGCCTGGAGTCTACCCTGCGCAACACCGGGGATTTCCAATAAATACACCTTGGGTGGTTCCTGGAGGAAAACATTAAGCTTTGGCTCTTGTATGCGAAAAGGAACCCATATCCCATGGCTTCGTTTGCATGAACTTCAATTCAGCATCCATCACCTCTCACCACTTTGTCTTCGTGATCCTACCCGAACTTCGATAGGGATCCCTCCCTCAATTGGCTGTGCACCTGTATCGATAATGATCCCCCCCGTATTGAGACCAAAGCACGTTTCCTAAATTGTTCATCATTCGGGTCTTCGTTACGGACCATCAATGATCATGTTCTCAGAATCTATCTGTGCTGTATTCGTAGTAAGGCGCTGCGTTGCGTCTTAAGGCTTTCAGGAAATTACATGAACCTCATGGTGACAGTAATAAGTAAGCTCTTTCACCAGACGACGGCGTATATCTATAGAATCTTGTGATGTCTGTCTACGCTTTGTTACGGATATTTCTAGAAAAGATAAATGATACGCGACTCTACGAGATCGTTGTAATAATACATATGGAGTCTAAATGCATACGAGAGAGAAGGATAGTATTTTGAGGATTAGTTAGTATTCTGGAAAGAAAGAAAGAAGACCATTAGAATGATCTTCCAAAGCAGTCGTCTCAGCGTGCGAGACTCGATGGCGAATCAGCTCCAACTCATCCCACAGATTCGAAGGAAGCTCTTTATGCTTGCGCAAAAATGACCGAATATGATCCAGCCATTCCTTCATAACATGAAACCTATTTTTCACAACCCCCCCCGTCTCACCTTGTCGAATAGCCAGCAGCAAAATTTGTGCCAGCCAATAGAACGGAAGAGCATCGTGCACAAAAGGCGGCTCCTCATCTCTCTCCTTCCCATCCGGGCAAGACATCCACATACTAAACCAGTTTGTCAACGCGTATTGAGTCGCAAACCGATTCCCTCCACGGCCGTCATTACCCATTGGCTCCGGTGCAGTAGAAGACTCAGCATCACTACCAGACGACTCGCAGCCCGAGTAGGAGAAGCAGACATTACGGAGGATCGTATGGATCAGAATGAAATGCGAGAATGGGTTCAAGGGCGTCAGCGAAATTTTAAGTCTCATCTCGCTGAGATTAGCTAGAGCTTGCTGCATCCCGACACCGTATAGTCTAGCTGACCCCAGACCGTACGGCGATGGTTTCTGCAACAGACCAATCCATTCTGCAGCAGTTTGCGCCTTCCATATGGCCTCATCGCATGGGAGATTCATGTTGAATTCCGCAGTCTGAAATGACGGGTGCATCGAGAAAAAGACAGAGTGACAGCAGTCATGGAGATATGAGAGTAATAGTGCGCTACAGATGGCATTGCGAAATCAGCAACAGTTGATAGCCATGCAGAACCGATTAAGATTTACCGTTTCACAGTTTCGTGAAGCGCCCAGTTCCGCCAAGACTGTTCCAAAAGGAGAGGATCGTTCGAATCAGGAAACGTCCAAGAACGTGAGCGAGCGATGGCTTCTGACCCTCGGATCATCTATTGGCTTCTGTCAGAGACGGCCCAGTCCAGCATAAATAGACTCCAACCATACCATAACTAGCATCCCATGATATACATTAGACGAAACCCGAAAATCGGAACGTTGGTGGAAGAGACCAATAGTCTGGAGCAACACAACGGCGAGTATAAGGAAATCTTGCTCTTTGAGACTACATGGCACTTTGATCTGGGTGTGTTTTTGCATTAGTATCAAAGATATGTATTCGCTAAAGCGAAGTACTGACAAAATCATGGATGACGGCATCCCGCGTCGAAGACAAAGTTTCGGTTATAAAAGAGACGGCTCGGCGGGTTTTGAGAAACAGCGCACCGCATGCTTGCATTGCGTGAATGAGGATGAGCGGTTTGTCCTCTGTTGTCCACGACCCCAGGTGCACTAAAGGAATTTGTGTACAGAAAGCGGAGAAAAATAGATGTACTGGAGGGTATGTCAGCTATCAAAGTAATCATGGTATGTGGGTACACACGGTATTGTTCATTTTCTATATCGAGCGGTTGAGCCCTGCTGAGTAAGTCTGCGCACCCCGAAGATACCGTATAAGGGGATGAGGGATTGAAAATTTCGCAGAAAGGAGTTTCGTTATCCGATAACGTAGAGATAGAAACGAAGCCGGAGGAGGAAGCTATAAGGGAAGAGTAGTCGACATTCAATCCAGATGCTCCGTTAGCTGGGAACCATGGGAGTTTCGGCAACGTGGCAGTGGTGGAAAAAGAGGATTTATCGAGGAAGTCATCAAGCACGCCACTTGAGAATGATCTTTCCATAGAATCATCACATAGTTCACCATCAGCATCAGCAATAGTGACCGCTTTTTTGATGACAGGGTCAAAGATGGCGGATAAGGAGGGACAATTCAATGAAGTGAAAGAGGAAGACGGGGTAGCGTCTGCAGCTACTGATAGGGTAGGATCGAAGGAAGGTAATATCTCACTGTTTTGAGGAGATTGAAGTGGATCTGATGAAGTTATGGGCGATGAAAGTGGTTCCTGAGAATTGTCATCGAGAAGCTCCGTTTGAATGCGTCTCTTGATACGGCGTCTCTTGGCATTATTCTTCTTTTCCTGCGAGACTGCCGGATCATTGACATAGACGCACTCCCTGCTGCGAGAAATGCACTTTGAGCATGGACTGTCAAGATTACACTTGACTTTTGAGTCTGCACAAGCCTAAACGAATGTTAAGGAAAGGAGTGAAGCGTCATCGTACTGTGGGGCAGACCTGGCAGGACTTTCTTCGAGATCGAAGGAAACCGAGACTATGATAACGCCGTTAGTTGATTATTCAAGCCTGAGAAGGTGACTGACTACTCACGGACCGCCGCACGTCCTTTTGTGTCTAGCCAGAACATCGCTCCGGTTGAACTCTGCACCGCATATCTACCATAGCTGGAATTAGCATACCGTTACAACTGCATTCGCTCTGAAAAATGCTGACCTCGCATCGATGCTCACGTTCGTTGGTATCTGTTCGGATGATATCTTAGTAGTCAAGCGCGGGATTCATACTGTAGCCGGTCGAAATCCTTACGTGAACCAAAATGTCTGTTCAAGTGTGTCGTCCTGGTGAACTTGGCGGGACAAAGGGGACAATGTTTCGTCTTCAACAACGTAGGCGTGTTTCCTCGATGAGAATGTACACGAGGTGTTTCTTGGTTTGTCTTGAGGTCGGCGACTAGACGCATGAACTGAAAAGTTGGGGAGCCGTATGATAAAGGCGGAGGGATGAAAAGCAGTGAGAGAAATGAATGGATGTGAAGAGGCGAGTTAAAAATGTCACAGCAGAGATTAGTGCTTTTTTAGCTTGTAAACCATGACGCCTCGAAAGTTTTCGTTTTAGAGAAGCCTTTCTTGGTCCTGAGAAGACCGACAGTACATCGGTATGAAAACTTTCCTGTATGGAACAATGAAGTTGAGGTAGTTTTTCGTTTTATAGAGCTCAAAACAAGGGGATAAAAACTGAATCTGAAAACGAAACCTTTTAAGGTCCCATTTTGGCTTTCAAAAATGAACTAGTATCTGCAGTCAATAGTCCACCATCCATGGTAATCCGCGCCCGTAGAATCCTCATCGGAGTGGATGACAATAGTTTAGGACCACATTTCTCAGCATTGATCCCTGCCCGAAGTAGCCGACCAGCGCCCTTCTATTATTGTACCGTTGCCTTTAGTCCAGATTCAACAATAAATTTGCATTCTACCTTCCTTAGAGTTCAATTTACGGTCAGAGACTAGTTGATAGATCCCAGAGGGTAGGAAAAATCATGTCCACGACGAAAGGGCGGACTGAAGCTGATTGCTGACTGGTTACGTGCCTAATACATGATAACGGTAAGTATAGAGCCAATATAATGACTTTATACACACGCGGAACTCTTTAAGTATAAGAAAACTTCCGTTTACTTACCTAATCAAAGGAGCTCATTAAAAGTAATGGCTGAATACGGGCCAGAATAACCCAAGAAGCTCGGTAACTGGCCTCCTCGGTGCGGGGAGATCGCAAGTCCTGGAATTCGGAGTTATTTCGGTGGCGGTGTATGATCGCGATAGTCCGAAAAATTTTCTTGCCGCTTCATTCATAAATACCTCCAAAACGCCGCAATAAACGAGTCATTAAAAGGTAGAAATGTCAGCAGAACGATAGGAGTGGCAAGGAAACTAAGAGGCGAATCCTGCTTCTTGTCATCAAGCACGCATAACCGTCGTGTCCTGGTAAAAGGCAATCAAAGAAAGCGATGTACTGATATGCCGCGTTGGCAAATTCCTGTGCATTTAGCTCGTCAACCTCAAAAGCTTTGGTTTTACTGAAGCCTTTCTCGGTCCCGAAAATGCTATCAGGAAACCGAATTTCCCCCTGTGGAATAATGGAATTAAGATAAGGGTATAAAAACTGAACCTGAAATCAACGGCCCCAGCGGGGACATAACACCGAACAGACCGAGCTGAACCTCCACCACCTTCTGCGCCAGCGCCAACAGCATTACATAGCTGCATCACCAGGCTTCTCCTTTACCGTGATCGGGAATGAACGGGTAGGTGCCATGTGCGTGAAAGACACCCTCCACGCGCGAATGTGGTCATCGTTTATCAGGTTAACCGGCGCTATATGCATGTACCCCAGATGTCATATGAACCTGGTAGTTGAGGATGATGGTTGGCCGGCGATGATGTTCAGTTCGCGGGAGAAGTCCCAATAAAGATGGTGATGGTCGAACAGTGGAGGATGATACTTTTGAGCGTGACTGTTGTTGGAGAGTCATCGTCGAACTGCAGGACCGGTGCGAACCCTTCGACCAGATGTCGTACACGCGGGCTATAGGGACTGCGCTCAACAGACGTTCCCGATGTGGTAGTACGAGTTGCCAGGCACATAGACTCGATGTCATGGACCAGCTGACTCGTACTTCCTTTTTTGGTTTGCCACATCTTTCCCTTATCTTTCACCGCCATTTCTACTGTTTTTCCTTCAATTCTTCTGTATAGGTTTCTATTCCATCCAATCATGACACTGCATTGCTTATGGACCGACAAGCATGCATCTGGGCCCTACAGCCTCAAAGGGCTCGTACCTTCAAGATCTCAGCACGAATGTTGAGGTGGCTGACCTCCCCGACCACAGAGCTGTTCCAGGCATTGGAAGGAGGATCAGTATGGGTCATATAGGTGTCTGATGCATATACCAGTTCGTTTTTACTACTTTTCTATTCGTTAAATTCCTCTCCAGTTCAATTCAACACAACTTCCCTCCCTACCCTGTCTGATGCGAAGACCGAAGCTGACAGCAGACAACACCTCCTCGGAATGTGCTGGGGATCGAGATACAATGGCTTGGACCACTGCTTGTATGCTGAGCAGGGGCAACGTACTCTCCCTATGCCGTAGTTGCACGTATCCTGGGTGGTTTGCTCTTGCTTGAAGCAGAGGTAAATGAGCTAGGACATTCCCTTTCTTCTGACTCTTTTGTTCTAGGATACTTCTATATACTCAAAACCAACATGTATGGGCTCTGGCGACGCATGAGCATGCGTGCAGCTACCCCTGGCCTCCCCTTATTGTACGTGTTCCAGAAATTTGATTTAGCTTCCCTTCCGTTTTGACCACCAAATAACAAACCTTTGAGCAAGCCAAGGACCTTGACTATTGAGCCCAGTGAGTAGTTTTATAAACTAATTACTCAAATTCTCTCTAGATACACCCGGTATTGATGAACACCACGACTTTCCCCCATGCCCAGCCACTTCACAAGCAACCCACGGCCTCGCACAACTGTCTACGTCAGCTACGACGTATACTGCGACACCAGAGGGGGAGAGCATCATGCACGAAGATGTATTCGGTCACATAAATAGTCGTCAGCCGGTCTTGAAGGAACATAATCTTCTGCGAGTCTACTCCAATATGGTTCCGTGCATGACCGGTTATATAACTACATCCCTGTCGTGAGAAGGAGGCGAGAGCTGTGGCCACGACGTTCCCGAGAGGTCATGATACGGTTTCGGGAAGAACGAGGGTATGCTTGGCCGCAGGCGAGATGTGAATGAACCCAGATTGTCCACTATGGATGTTCATAACAAGGTGAGAAGGCAACCGGCTAGCATCATCTTCAATCTAGCATACGTGGTGCCAAAGAAGGTTCTGTCGCAGGATTGTACGTAGGAGGTGATGGAATCGAGAAGCTCTTCTTCGTCCTGAGGATGGCGCTTGCCATAATCATTGTTGGGGAACCTTGGTATGGCACGAGCTCTTGGAGAGGAATATACTTTGGGCAGTTCTTGGAAAACTTTAATCTGTGGTCCTCGCATGCAGAAAGAGAACCGTACCCTATGGATTCGTTGACATGAACTTCAAATTCACATCCATCCTGAGCCCCTTTCTCTTCGTAAGCTTCGCCACAAAATCATTCCTACGACGCGCTCCGGGCGGTTGTGATGTATCAATTGACGGCAAAGCGCCGTACGGTAACTGGGCAACACAAGCGTAAAGTCAACCTTCCCATTATTAACACATCCTACGACTCCTGCACCTACAAAATTGGGTGATACAAATGTCGCAGAGGCGCTGGCAGTGTGGACAGTCCAGTGCACAGATATTGGTAGAAGGGAAGAAAAGGGAAATCAAAATCTCACATGTGACTGCAGCTTTCACCGAAGTGTCGCGACATCCATAAGTAATTGGCAATTCCAGCGCATGAAAAGCAAAGGGCTTTACAGCTGCGGAATAATGCAGGTGACAACGATAGAGCTGTAGAAGACATGGTGGCTGTTCCTAGGTAGCAGTCGCCTGGACCGGACGTACACTTAAAAGAGATGCCCAGGTATCACGTACGAGATGAATATGTATCCCTTCGCAGGCGGTCGATCTGGAGGGAAGATACTCATCGACATGCCTGGTGCAGTTTCGTGTGAAAAAGGGTATCACCAGTAACAAAATAAATGAGAGTAAGATACGCGCAAGGTCTGAGAGCGGTTCCCAGAAAAGCCAAGAAGGACGAGGTTCGCTCATACACGAATGAGCTCTATCCAAAGTTTTCACACAGATTTGAGAGGAGGATTTGCTCGCATCATCTGCATGTAGTGTGTCGCAAGATAAGGAAAGGAAGGTAGCACTAATGAATCGTCGTATCGGATGGAAAAAACTCGCAGACAGATAAAGTTGGGACAATTTCTAGCAAAATAATTAGATATCATCCTGCGTCGCAGAGAGAAATCATACCTAATTCCTTGTCTCTTCGTTATCTTCCACTAAATATTGTTCCTTCGGTGCTGCACCGAACTCTCCGTCATCCTTCGCGCTGCTAGTCAACGGGGCCGTTCCATACCTTAACGTTGAAGAACAGGATCGACCTTGGAGGACAAGCAGAGACCGACCACCAAGGCCGTCCCAAGGAATCCAGAGTCTTACTCTGGGGAAAAGGAAGTCCAGCCGTGTAGAAGACACCATGGTCGTGCGGTTGTTTACCATTGGCTGACATTTGAGTAATCCATATCAACGTCCAAGTTTCACCGGTATTATTTTCCAGCTATGCGCACCTATAAGAAATATATGAGCGATGCAATGTTACCACAAAGATTAATATTTACCTTTCGTGGAAAGCGACAAAAGGAAGATAGATTTTGATTGAAAATGTTACATGAAGATCCTGTCCGATATCGCTAGGACTATCAGGGAACAATACCGATGATAGCTGTAGCAGAAGAAATAGGACCAGGACCATGCGGAAATGACGGGAGAGGAACGGAATGGTTATGGGAGCAACGCCAAAATCGGTCTGCACCGGCTTGCAAGACATGTGATTTTGAGTGGTGTGATTGCATTTGCTGCTTTGAGCTGGGGAAAAACGGGTGTTCTCTTGTAAACAAGGATTATGACAGTGAGGTTTGGAATGGAAAGTGAAGATAGAATCGCGCTGTTTCTCCTGAGTGTCATGCAAGTGAGATGGGGCAGGGAGATGGTTTCGTGGCCGTCTGGAATTTTGATTCCCATGTCGTTAATTTCGAGACTCTTCATACACTTCGCCTGTAGAAGAAGATCAAGGTCCTGCGTACCATAGACTGGAAACATTAAGTGGGCAAGATGGCTCCAGGCGATGAAGGGAATGACCAGTGGCTGCAGCATCTCCCCCTCGAAGACTCGCAGATTTCCTGCATAATCAAATCCATCATGTATCCGAGACGTAGGCTGACCAGTAGCATCCACTGATTTGATTTTCAGACGACGGAGCCTATTCAAACTCCCCTGACCCCGGGAAAGGCCTTGCATGGAACAAAGACGATTGCATAAAACGAGTAGATTTTCGATACAGGAAGTGAGGGTGGAAATGAGGGAAAGAAAGGGATGATCTGCAATGTCGATGGTACTGCGAATCCATATGGTGAGGGGTGCGTTCCGTGACCTTTCAAGATGGATTCCAAGCATGAAAATTGTGCGCAAATGGATGACAAAGGATCATTGAGATCACCCACCATATCAAGCAAGATAGATGACCACAGATCCGGAGAGCTGACAATAGTCGCTCGCCAGCTCTGGAATACTTGAGACAACGTCCATGGGGATCTCCTAGCATCCAGACTATCGTATAAGTCAATGCTTTGCGACATTATTTCGGAAGGGGATGGGATGGTCTCAAGAGCGATGGAGCGAAGAACCATCATGGGGTAATCTTCTCATTGGAGAAGGAGTACTTTGGTGTCCTCGATTTTCACCTGCACCATGTGACATTCATTGATACGAGACTCGGTAAGAACTTTGACATGCGGGATCTTCTCATCACGATTCGCAAGACGCTTAGGTCCCCACATGATGATTATCCTGGAAACGGGATGGCTCTCTATCCGACGGAACATCGTTGCATCTGAGAAGGTCTGGTATGCGAGGCAAGTGTGTGTCTCCCGGCAATGTTCCCATAGATGTAGATCTAATTTTGGAACTGGCAGCAAGAAGGGTAGCTTCGTCTTGTGGGTCAAAGAATGAAACATTAACTACAGGCGAGGATAATGAAGGCAGACATACGCATCAACGTTATAGTATTCGACAAAGAAGCAAGCCTTGCGGTAGCAGTGAAGGAGATACACGAAGCGACTGTATATCATATGTGTACTGTCTGTCAGGACTGACTCAGAGTGTGAAAACTGATATCACATGGTGGCCTTCCGGCACATTTGACCGCCGTGTTTTCCGGACAAATAAGGCATTGTTAAGGGCGAACATGTCATGCACACGCGTCACTTCTGTCTTTCGTGTCTGTTCTGATGTTGTTCCGCATCTCTGAGGCCTACTGTGAAATCTAGCTTCGATAAATGTCGCAGTACAACTATGGTATCAATAGCTCTAGTCATGGTACCGATCTACAAGAAAGCCTATCTGGAAAGAAATTGGTGGACATAAATTCAATGCAGGGGGGAGAAATACCTGGTCGCACTAAAATTAGATAAAGAACAAGATGAGATGCTCTATATCTGCAGAGGTTCAAAGTGCAGAAATTCTTTCATCATACCTCCCAGCATATGATCTTCCACCCTCCATCAATTCGATTCTGCCAAATACGAGCATAAGGGGAATCGAGGGTCAGGGGATAACGAAAGTACACGGTTTCCACTTGGTCTATGTCTGGGTTATTACCCTGCCTGCGAGCCGTGATCATTCAAGACATCTACTCTGGGTGGAAGTGGGAGGTCAAGTGGCCGGAGATGACGCAGGGGCACGCATATTAATAACGAAACCATCAGGGCTTCGTTATATACTGATAGAGGCCTCGATTGAGAGGTTATAGAAAGGTAGCACAGGTTGGGGATGGATTTGAACAGTAGTTTAGGAAGCTGATATAACCACAGTCATGATGCCAAGCATAATGGGCAAACAAGACAAAGTAGAGCTAGTAGTAGATAGAGATATACATATGTCCTTTAGTGGGTCAATAAACTGGACTGCATCAGCCAATATTGCTATTAAAGTTTTTGATAAATTATTTCAATGCATAAAATATTCATATATAAAAGTATTAATCAATGTGCAGATATTAGCTAATTGAAAACTAATATATAAAGCACTAGAAGGGTATCAAGGGTTCTAAGAGACTACTTCATTTGAAATAGAGCATACCAGTCTTGTATTCCATAGTGGTAGTCCCTTGTTTATGATCCCTGACCATCTCAACAATGCTCACAAATTTGAGTTTGCAACCACTAAGATCAAAGACTCTCAGATGCAGTAGGAGCATGTATGATAATGATGGGACACCTTGGAGTAGAGATATATCATCCTATGATGACACTTGAGCAGATTTCAGAGCAAGGCAATGGAGATTTGGCATGGCATTCAGCAATGCCTAAAAGCAGAGGAATACATATTTCTCTGTTATGATTTTTTCTATTTTCTTACTTTATCTTATCTTATCTTATCTGGTGTCTATCTTATCAGGAGGGCACTTAAGATCATGGGATTATCACCATGTGATTGACAAAAGCACAATAGGCAGGCTATGCCATTGTATGATGACATGCAATGGATGCCTTAACAATGGATGGGGCTTATTTGTCTCACACCTGATGACCAGATAATACAGCATCACAACACAAGAGGACATAATAATGTAGAGACTATATTTATATTCATGAACAGTTATATAAGTAGGTTAGCTCTTGCTGTACAACTCCAGCTTTGAGCTAAAGTTTATTCTATACTACTCTCTCCTCTCAAGCTCAATCAGTGAAGTCTTGATCACACTGATCTAAGCACATATGGTGAACTCTGACATGACTGTACAAACTTGATACAACATTGATTTATCACATGCTTGTTCACATATTGAGTGGTGACATGCCTGCTGCATGTCCAGATGTGTAATTTTGTGAAATATGACAATACATTGACTGTATTACAGTCTACTATGCACACAATAAAGAATATGGCTAGAGTGCAGTAAAATGGGACTTGTATGGTAGCTGGTTTGAGTGATGATAGGTAGAGGGCATGGCCTAGCAGTAGGATGATACCAGAGGGGGTCATACTGTGCATGACATACCAGCACTTGACACTAATTGTGCTAATACAAGTGCAGAAAGACTTCCTGAAAATAAAGAGCACATGATCAGATTATGTTGGAGTTAACAAGGTAGGAGCATGGACATGGTGAACAAGAAAAAAAGTTTTGAAAGAGAATGAATACTAGAATAAAACATTATAACATTAATCTCAGTGTTATAGTTGAAAGCTGTGTTATTTACCTAGGATCAAATATTGTAACATTACTACATAGGTGATAAGTAAATATGGTCAAGAATAGATATGTATAGAAGGTGCTCACATCTCAGCATTATGGTTGAAAGCTGAGATATGTGGAACAGTGTGACATGCCAAAAAAGGAAGGAATATTAAATAGGTAAGTGAATGTGTGTATATTGTACTATTCCTATGTCTAACACTCCCCCTCAAAATGTAAATGGTTCACTTACATGATGCCCAGTGCCTCTGCAAACTTCTTGAATTTTGGATGAGCCAACAGTTTTGTGAGAATGTCAGCAACCATATTATTGTTATGATTTTTTCACCTTTCTCCTCATTCTTACCTCTATTTATGCTTAGTCAGAGCATGGGACTATAGGAGAAAGGGGGCTTAGTCATCACAACTAACCCACCCACTATCCATTAAAACAAAGATGCTTGACAATGACAAGCAACCTTTTATGTATGGTAATGATGCTCAATGACAATGGGCACCATGGACACAGGCAGATACAATTAGTAGGAAGTATTATTAGCACAGACAGTATAGTATTTAAGACCAACAGCTCTTGCTGGCATACCCCAGCTTTGAGCTAAAGTTTATGCACATACCATTCTAACCTTGAGCCATTTTCATGGCCTTGTACCACATTGATTCGAAGACACAATCAGTGAACTCAGGTGATCCCTCAAAGTGCAAAGGGACATCTGCTTATCACATGTTTAGGATCACATGACACTTGGGTCTAACAATTAGCTCAAAGCTTTCATCTTCCCTTTCTCAAGCTCAATTGTGCTGAGAAACCGAATGCCCCCAGCAACAACTGCCAACTTGAATCATGACTTCTTTGAGCTTATCACTTCCATCATTGGAGCACTGCTCAGTCTTCTTGCCATCATCACCCTCTGCCATGGACAACAATCAGTAACAGCTTGGATAGTCAGGCGCTATCAGGTGTTCCAGCAGATTCAACATATACTACAAAATGCAACCCCAGACCTCCTGTTTTATGATATCCCCGCCTCCATCAGAACATCCTTCCAGCCACAAGGGTGACCCTTATCAGAAACCAGGAATAATGACTCACATTCAGGGAGCCTTCACAAGGAAGAAGGACCCCAGTACCCCCCTCAATGAAACAGCAGAGACTGCCACCCTGCTCTCACAGGGTTCCAGAACCCATGGACAATAAACCTCAACCAGGAGCCCGAGGAGATCCCTGACAACATCGCTCCAGCAGTCCCAGCCTCTGAGCCTTCCCCCTCCCCAATCCTCTCAGAGATTGAAAACCGTGCTCGGGACTCTCTTGATGCTGCTCGGATGGCTCTGAGATCCTGCAAATCCCCTGGCACTCCCCATGACTCCCTTTACATCCCCACTGAGCCAAACTCTGGCTCTAGCCAGTCTATCAGCAGGTTGGAGATTGATGACCCACACAGAAGGACAATACACCCCAACTATGCCAATGTCAAAATTGCCATCTCCACAGCCAGGGACCCCCATCGACATCTCTATGTTGGGAGTGAGCCAGAAGTCAGGACCACCAGTGCCAGAGGAAGGGCTGCCAGAGACAGGATCATATGGTGAGTATTCCTGGACTAGGACCTCATGGTCCCTTTTAACTACAATGATGCAGTACAGCAGCAGCAGCAGAACCAGACCAGACAGGCTGAGATCAGGTGAGCCCAAGAAGAGCTCACCAAGTATGTATGAAATGAAGCCCAGGAACAATATGAAGCCACAGTATATGACCAGCAGGGGAGAGAGTGAAGGAGGCAAGAGGAAGGCAAAAGAATGGGATCGGCCTCTCCAGGCTGGTATGGGCTCCGCACTGACTCGGGATCCCCATTCAGGGAGCCTGACTCAAACACTGACTCATGGACAGGACCTGCCAGCATTGTTAGCTGGAACAAGGCTATCTGACGAGGCCAGATCAACAACAACTGACCTCCCACCCCTCAGTACCCCCCTTGAACTGACACCATTTTCTCGGATGCCAACTCCATACTCGGAGCCTATGGGCTCTGAGTTCCAGACAATGCCCATGTCTCCAACCAGGCCCTCCAGCAATTCCTGGGAAGCAGGGTCACCCACCAGTTCCTCAATCCTGAGTTTCGACATTACTTCAGCCTCTATAGCTGAGAACTGGAGGAGACAAGAGTGCATAGAGGAACACGATACAGCCAGCTCAATAACCCTACCATCCATCAAACCAGCCAAGGGGCTGGCCCTAGCAATACCAGACCCAGCACCCAGAATGGTGCAGGGGTCTCCAATGACCCTATGACCAATGGTGCCATCCATCTATGACCTGCCCATCGGTTCCCTCCTCGAGGAAGGGGACAGCAGGAATGAGGGCAACAAGGAGGGCGATGAGGACAGTGAAGAGCCATACACATACAGACAAACTCTCGTGAGGGCAGGCAAAGACACAGATGAAGAAGCATTGAAAGAAGAAATGGAGTGAGCAAGGAACAAAGAGTATCAGGAGCTGTATGAGCAGAGAAGGAATTTCTTATGGCAAGATGCATGCTGGCAAGCAACGTCTTTAGGACTTGAATATTGGTATGCAGAAAACACTGAAAAAGGAAGGATTTTACAGTATGCCACGATGGAATATGC